CCTGTGGCTGTGTGCCCAGCCCAGCGCCCACCTCGCCCAGCTGGACAGGGACACTCTCAGCCCAGCTGGTCTCCCTCTGCCCTCCAGTGGAGCCTGAAGCTGGTCTCCTCGGGCAGACAGGGCCAAAGGGCCCAGGAAGGCCACAAGGGGTTAGAGCCCTAGGCTGCAGGCAGGTGCTGTGCGCAGACCAGAGGGAGGGGCCTACCGCTCGAGCTGCAGCCGCAGGGGTGAGGGGCTCTGCCGGATCTTGCTCTGGGCCTCTGCATGCAGCATGCCTTCCGCCCTCTCCCCGTTGATGGCCACGATGATGTCTCCAGGCCGGAGGTCAGCCGCCTGGGCCTTGCCTCGTTCAGTTACCTACAGGGGATGAGTTTCAGGTGCCCTCGGAGCGGGGGCAGCGGGGAAGGGACTTCCTGCTCTGCCCACCGCCCCCCAACCAGAGCCCACCCAGAAGGCGGCGTCAGTGAGCAGCCCCTCCCGCCCTGGCCTCTGGCGGACACCTCCCCAGCAATGTGGGGTGGCGGAATTTCAGGTGCTTGTGGGTGCTTGGAAATACTTTTGGATAGAGAGAGCCCTGCCCGTGCAAATCGCACCTTGCAGGCAGCTCTACCTGCAAACAGGCTGGGCCAGGCCTGGGCCAGGGGCATTCGGCTACCAACTCTGGGTGCCCTTGATCTCCCACCACCCCAAGTGGCTGCCAGCAGGTGCGGGGTTAGTGGCCCACGCCCTGTCCCTCCCAGAGCAGCCTGTTCCCAAAGCGGCCACCCCTCACCGTGCAGCCCCTGGCTCACCTTGGTCACCATGATGGGCGCATGGAAATCCCGGCCCCCCGTGATGCGGAAGCCCCAGGGCGCCGGCCCCACCACATCCACAGTCAGCGCCATACCTGGGGGAGGGGGAGGAGCAGACAGCTGGAGCCCACTCCCCCAGCCCACCCCAGAAACCCCGTCAGATGGCCGGGCAGAGGCACAGAGGCGGCTGGGGAAGGGGTGGGGGGCAGGTCCCAGCGCCACCCATCACGTCACAGAGGAAGTGACGAAGTCCCTCCCTCACCCAGTTTCACTTCCCCCCACCCTGGGAAGCCACCAAGTTCCCCTTCCCGCAGTCTTTAGCCAGTGGCTCCCGGGAGGCTGCTGTCCGGGATGCCAGGCAGGGGTCTGAGGGAAGGGAAGATAGGGGTGACAGGTGGCAGGAGAGGTCGCCACTGCCCCCCTTACCCCTCCTCCACCACCAAGGCAGAGTCCCGCTGGGGCTTGCTTCCTGTCCCCAAAACCCACAGCACAAGACACTTCCTCCCGCTGCGGAGGGGCGGGCAGGTGGCGGCCGTGAGACGGCAGGGCTCCGGCACAGCAGTGACAGCCACGGAACAGAGTGGCCCGCCACAGACGATACCAGGGACCGGGCTGCGTCTCCCCGAGGGACCTCCTGGCTGCCTGCCCAGCCCCTGAGAGTGCGGTTCAGACGGGCAGGAGCAGGGCCTTCCACCTCCCCCGGGGGCCCGCTGCTCTCTGAACAGCCCCTCCCGCCAGGAGACCAGGGCTCTAGAGCCAAGCTGGGCACACCCAGCCTCTGGGGCCGGGCAACACAATGAAGGGACAGATGCCACCTCCTCGCGGGGGCGCAGGCCTCCTGTCCACTGCCCCTTTGGCCGGGCAGGGGAGTGTCCTCACAGAGCAACCCTGTAGGACTTCCTGAGCCTCTAGGTCTGGAGCCAGGAGCCAACCCAGGCAGGAAGCTGCAATGCCAGGCTTGGCACCACCCAGCCCGGCACTCATCCTCGGGCTGCCCCTGGGACTCCCAGAACTCTCGGGTGCTGCCAAGTCCCTGAGGACACCAGGGTCCCCAGCACGCAGGGGGCCACCTGGGCCCGCAGGTCTGTCGCCCCATGCCCTCCCCAGGCCGGGAGGCCCCGAGGCCGGGCGCTGGCGGCTCGCAGCCGCGCTGAATTTCTCGGACCTTTGAGCCGGCCGTGGACTCCGCGCCGCGGGGAGGTGCCCGGCCCGTCCGCCCTGCTCTCCCGGTTCCGGAGCCTCCCTGCCTCAAAGGCCAAAGGACCCCGCGCGCCCCAGGGTGCTGGAAGAGGAGCGCCCTGGTCAGGGAGACCCCAGCCCCCAGGGACTGGAGAAGCCGGCGCCGGGAAGAGCGTTGGCGGCGCGGAGGGCGCGCAGGTGGGTGTGCGCTCACCTGGATGCGGCTCACCTGTAGGGCTGGGCGGCCCGGCCCGGGAAGGGAAGGCCAGGAGGGAGGCAGGGTGAAAAGGCAGCGCGGCTCGAGCCGCCGCCGTCTGCGCGGCTCTGGGGAGAGCCCGCCCGGGGCTCCGGGACCTGCCTCCACCCATGTGATCCCGGGGCCGCCCCTGGCCCGGGAAGCCGCCTCCTCCGCGCCGCCGAGCCGGGGCGCTGCCGCCGGCTCAGACTCCGCCCTAAGCCCCTCGGGCTTCGGCGGTCCAGCCCGAGGTGCCCGCATCTTGCCGACCGCCCCGGAGCGCATCTCGGAGAGCCGGTGCCGTGCCAGGTCCCGCGCCCTCTCCGCGCGCCGCCTCGACCCCCGCAAATCCCGGGCCGGGGCCCGCCCCTCCGCCCTCCCTGAACGCCCACGGGCCGCTGCGGCTCTTTCCCGCACAACTGCCCGCGCCCCGGGAGAGACGCGGATTCCTGGCTGGGGCTCCCCACGGATGCTTTCCCATCCCCGCTGCCCCACCTCACCCTCTCTGCCGGGACCTGCATCCCCACCCCCACCCGCAACCACCTGGGCCCCGGGACCCCAGGTGGCAGCTCGGGGAGGAGGAGGCTGTGACCATACCTGGCAACCTGCGCCCTGGGGGCCCTGCAGCCTCCTGGGTCTGCGCTGGTGGCCGTGGCCAGCTGGTCTGTCTTTAGGGAGCACAGCTGTGGGTACAGCTGTAACTCGCCTGCCTCAGCAGTGAGTCATTCCTCTCCTGACCTGCAGGTGCCCTGTGTCATTCTCCCAGGGCTCCTCCAGCGAGGCCACCTCCCCTCTGTCCTGGGTGTGTAAACCGCTCTCCCGTGGTGGACTAGTCCCATGCCTCCCGCATGGCCACCTTGCCGCGTGCACCTGTTCTACTTCCCTAAGTAGCCAGGAGAGAGCAGCAAACTGCCTGCAGGGTAAGCCCAGCCTTGGGGTCCCTCAGCTGCCACACCTGCCTCTTTCCAGTGTGTGGCCTTAGGCAGCTTCCTCAGCCCCCCGTGCCTCAGTTTCCCTACGTGTAAAATGGGGATCATGCACACCTTAGTCCCGCCCCCCACGTTGTGCAAACTGCTCTTCTTTAGGCACAGCCCAAGGATGACTGAGAGCTATAGACCAGAGCCCCCGCCCAGCTCCTGCAGGGGGTGGGGGACATCCACCCACTCAGTTCATTCCCCCCACTCATTCCACAGGTGCCAAGTGCCAGGCTCTGGAAGCCAAGCAGAGACCCACATTGCTTCTGCTGTGCTCTGCTTTCTAGAAAGTTCTAGAGTTTTCTGCCCCGTGGCTTGTGCAGTCACTAAACCCACCACCAAGTGGGTGGAGCTACCCCCCCCCAGTACACAAGGAGGGCTGTCTTGCTGGGGGCGACTCTGGCCCTCGTCTCGGATGGGGTGAGCTATGCCCGGTGGCCCCTGGCTCTCCTTTGCCCTCGCGTCTCATGCCAGGTGGGGGCACAGGCGTGGCCATCTTACGGGCAGGGCCGCGGCGGTGGGCGGCCCCAGGCACAAGGTTTGTTTGCTACAGGGGAGCCCGGGCCCCAGCACAGACGGGGGGTGGATTTGCTTTCTGTTGCGAGGAGGAAGAAGCCTCAAGCTGGCTACGATTTATATGAGGGCACCAGGGAACATAAACAGAGTAGGAGGGGACAGGCCATCACAGGCCAGCAGTGCCTGGACACAGTCCAGCCTGGGCTGGCCCTGGCACCTGAGAGGCCAGCCTGGTGAGGGCGGTGAGGACGGCCATAGCTGGGTGGAGCAGGCCCCGTGGGTTTCATTCCGAAAGCTGCTTAATCCAGCGGAGGGGGGGCGGGGGGGCCACTCCCAGACTCCAGGAATCTGCCAGGGCCGGCCCCTCCCCTCCACCTTGACAGAGCCAGGCCCCACCCCTCACGGCAGCCTGTCCCACCCACCTGGGGTTAGAGTGCCTGAAGTGGCAGGTCTAGACACCAGGGGTGCCGGGAAGACCAGAAAAGCAACCCAGCCCCGGGAAGTCCCTGAGCCCGTGCACCGGCGTCCTTCTCCAAGGGCGGCCGCAGGAGCGATGCCTGCCCACCAGGTGGATCTCGTGCAGAGAGGCGGCCCCTCCTCCGGCACTTCAGAACCCTTCTGGACGCCAGCCTCACGAGCAGCTGGGCCCAGGAGACACCCACAGGGGCCGCCACTCCCCACGCCTCCAAGTCCCCAGGGGCGGGAAGAGCCGCCCTGGCTGGCTGTGCCCACCACTCCCAGATTCCCACAGCCCATGGCTCAAAATGGAAATGGAGCGCCCAGAAGAAAAACATTAGCAGTTTGTCTGGCTTGCCTCGTGCCCGCCCCCCAGTGGCAGGACCTCCGCCGGGCGAAGCCACACTTCCTTCACTCAGTAATCCAAGGACGGAAGCGATGGCTAAGCCTGCACCTTTGCCCACGGCACGCAACCTCTGGAATCTCTCCGCCCCTCTCGGAGACCACGTTTGGGATGAGTCACAGATGTCATCAAGTCCATTAGCCCCACAGTGGCGGCCCCAGAAGCAAAACAGCTGAACGAGGTCACATTCAGTCCCGTCGCTGGTTTCTCCCCACGGTCAGCCCTGGCCCCGGTGCCTGTGGCGTCCGTCCCCCCTCCCCGGGGACAGCAGCTGCCCAGTGCTGGGGGCTGAGATCCTCAGAACCGATAACGGTGCCTCTGACACACACACGCACACACGCAAGCATCCGTCTCGCCTCCTTCCCGGCGCAGCCCTCTGTGGCAATGAGTCCCATGGCCCCAGGCCTCTTTCGCCTGTCCCACAGCAAAGAGACTTGGAGGCAAGGTGCCCGGAGTCCAGCTTTATTGTACATTCTCTTCCAGAGGGGACTTGGGCGTCGGGTGGGAGAGCTGGGAGGCAGGAGGCCAGCAGAGTGTCCCCTGCACAGCGCCTGGGTCAGGCCAGCAGGGGGTGGTGTGGAGCTCAGGCCCAGGGCGTGGCGGCCTCTGGCTAGGCCTCAGACGCTACAGAGGGGGCTGCCTCCGGCTCCCACTTGGCTCCCAGGCTCAGCTGGGGGCAAGAAGGCAGAGGGGCCAGCAGGCAAGCTGGAGAGACGGGACGCCTTTGGTCTCTGTTAGCCTAGAAAGCCGGTCCTTGTTAGAGGGACCCCATGGGGGTGAAGCTGGGAGCCAGCCCCTGTTACAGGAAGCACCGCAGTAGGGTGGGGCTAGGGGACGCAGGGTCTGGCCCCAATAAGGCCTGCCAACAGTCTCCACTTCAAAGCAGACCTCTGTATTTGGGGGCAGGGGGGATGAAAGGGCTGTAGGGACGCCTGTAAGCTGTGGGTGGCAGCCAGTCCAGGGGCTTCCAGGGGGCTCCGAGGGAAAGGCTGCCGGGGGTGTGTGTGGAGCTGGGAGCGCAGGTCCTGGGGGAGGAGGGCGTGGCGGTCCTCTCTCCCCGTCCTGAAGGGCTGCGGCTCCCCGCCCCATCCTGGCCGGCTCCCGGTTCCCATACACACCACTCACACCGGAGCTACGTAATTGCCAGGGAATGTCCCGAACTTCTGAGTCCTGCGGGAGACACCTGGAACAGAAAAACAGAACAGCATTGCCCGGGATGCCAGGGGCTGGGAGTTGGGGGGAAGCTCCGCCCCCTCATGGCAGTGCCCTGAACTGCAAGTGGAGTCCCTTTTCCAGGGTGGGGTTTGAGTCGCTTGCCTCATGCCTGCCCCCTAGTGGTAGGCCCTCAGCGCGGCAAAGCCACACCTCCTCCACTCAATCCAAGGAGGGACGCAGTCAGTAAGCGAGCAGCCTGGTCAGGCGCTCTCATTCCAGACACGGGCAGGGAGGGCCTGTGGCTGGGCGAGTGACCCAGACAACCCGGGCCTCGGCCCTGCTACAGCCTCAGAGGTCCTGTGTTCTCCGCTGGAGGACGGGACCGCGAGGAGCATCGCGGAGGGGCAGGGCGAGAGGCTTGGATAAACCGATGCTCCTGAGTCTCCCCTCTAGGCTGGCACCTGGAAGCAGCCCATGCCCTCCCTTTCATCTCGGCCTCCCAAATTCTTCCAGGCCCTGTTTAACCACTTCCTCCAGGAAGCCTTCCCGGACCTGCACACGGCCCAAGCACTTGTGGCTGTTATGCTACCAATGGGATCTTGCACTTCTTGTCTACGCCCCCTGGCAGAGCTGTATGAAGTGTCCCCCAGGCCAGGAGCTTCGTGACCACTCGTGTGTCCAGGCCTTGCTCAGCAGGACTCCCATCAGAAAGACGTGGCGGCCAGGCCAAGGGTCCAACCCTGTGTCCACCCCTGCTCAGGCAGCCCCCCAAACCTCAGGCCCTGGAGCCCGCGTGGGGCAGCAGGGGCTCTGCGGGCCGCCGTCTTCTTTTGGGGGACGACACAGCCTTTGAAGCTGAGGCCATGGGAACCCTGAACGGGGCCAGGGCACAGGTGCTGCCATGGACCAGTCCTGAGGGGCTGTCTGGGGCGGGGCGGGGCACAGCAGGTGTGAGGCCTGCGCCTCCCCCCAGCAGAAGGGTGCAGGGGGAGGAACAGGCACCCAGGGGCTGAGGAACCCTGCCCTGGCTCCACAGAGAGCCCGTCAGTGACGGCGGGCTGCTGCTGGTTTGTCCGGGGCCCCTCCCCTCTTGGGGGCTTGGAGAAGTGCTGGTTTGGGGAAGGGTCCAGGGCCAGGCCTGCCCGTGGGAGCTGGGGGCAGTTGGGCAGGCACAGGTCTGTGCCGAGGCAGCGCTGGCTGGCGGGCCACAGCACTCCCTCTCCCGGCTCCCCCACGGGGCCCCTGGGGTGCCCCGGCCCACGCACCCACAAACCAGCCGTCGTCACACTGCTGCATGACATCCACGCGGTCCCCCTCGCGGAGTTCCAGTTCGTCGTCATTCTGTGGCCTGTACTGGTACATGGCCCGGTACCTGCGGGAAACACCGTCACGCACTGCCGCCAGGGACCTGGCCCCGCCCAAACCCAAGGGCTGCCCCTCCCCGGGGACTTCCCAACGCTCCCTCCCTCCTTGCACTCTGCAGCCCCCAGCCAGCTCCCAGGACCACAGCCCCTCCCGACCACCCAGGCCACGCCCCCTCAGAGCCCCAGGGCTACAATCCTCCCTGCTCGGACCTCAGGCTGCAGGCTCAGGGGTGGAACGCTGGGGGCCCTGTTTAAGACAGGGAAGGGCCGGGGACCCCCAGATGAGAAACCTGCTTGCCCGCCCCCACGGCCTAGAAGCTGGCGAAGACAAGCAGACCTAGTGGGGGCTTCCCGAGCCCATGCAGGGGGTCCGTGAACTTAGCACTGCCTGCTGGGCAGGCCCCAGACCAAATGCCCCCACCCATGCGCGGTACTCACGGGGTCCAGTGTATCTGAGCGGTGTGGGGGGTGGGGGCCCCCGGGTCCAGGGGATGGCTGGAGCCTCGAGGATGGGACAGCGCTGGCCCAGGGGTGCTGAGGCTCTAGGGGTGCCCAGGAGAGGAGGGTCAGAGGGGGCGGGGGCGGGGCGGGGCAGGGCGGGGCGGGCCCACCCTGGCTGAGGCTTCCCACTGCCCCTGCTCACACAGGCCCCGGGTCTGACAGCAGCTGCTTTGCCCGTTTCCCTGCCCAGATACAGAAAGCACCTGGAATCCGACCACCGGCAGGGATGGCGCTAGGCACCAGCCGTGCAGGGCTCCCAGAACAGAGGGACCTCCACTGCGTGCCAGGCCTAACGACCCTCTTCCCCACAGACTGCGACCCTCTGCCTTCAAGCCCACCTGCTTCCCTACGTCCTGCTCAGCTCCACTCATGTCCCTGCCGGAGGCAGACGTGGGCCAACCAGGACAGGGTGGCTGAGGAGGGCCGGGCTGCAGCTGCGAGGAGGGGTAGGGACCCCAGGGGCCAGGGCAGGGGGGCTGTGCTGCGGGGCGGCCTCACCTGAGCCTGCGGTCTGGGCTCCTGGGTGGGGAAGGAGAGGCTGGTGCGGCGGGGGGAGGTGCGGCCCCCCCAGTCGGTGGGGTCGGCGGGGCTGCGCGGCCCCGAGGGGGAGCTGGGCTGCCGGGCCAGCCGGGTGGCGGCGGTGGCGGGCAGCTGCGGGCCATCGTCGCAGACCCGCAGGCGGGGCTCGCGGCACACCTGCACGTAGCTGGCGGGGAAGATGCCCTGGCGCCCGGTGCCCGTGATGCGGCCCTCGTACCAGTTCTCGTTCACCTTGCGGATCAGGCAGATGCGCTCTCCCTGCGGGGGAGGGGGTGGGGGGGTGGGAGGGCTGGTGTCAGCAGGGCCCACATCCTCCTCCTCCTCCGGGGGAGGCGCTCACAGCTGCTGCCCGAGGCTGTCCCACGGGAGACCAGCTCCCTGCTCTCTAGGCCAGCATCCTCCAAGCTTTCTCAACACAATCTCTAATTTAAAAAAAAATTGTAGCCACAACCCAGAACACGTATGGACATGTGTGCACGGGGCTGCTGGGAGTCTGATAAGCACCCTGTCTGCACGGAAGTCCTCGCTGTCTATCCACCACGTCCATCCGCTTCTTTAAAGATGCTGTTTATGGGGCCGGCGCTGTGGCGTAGTGCGTAAGGCTGCCGCCTGCAGCACCCACGTCCCATGTGGGCGCCAGTTCAAGTCCTGGCTGCTCCACTTCTGATCCAGCTCTCTGCTATGGCCTGGGAAAGCAGTAGAAGATGGCCCAAGTCCCTGGGCCCCTGCACCAATGTGGGAGACCCGGAAGAAGCTCCTGGCTCCTGGCTTCAGATCGGCCCAGCTCTGGCCATTGAGGCCATTTGGGAGTGAACCAGTGGATGGAAGATTCTCTCTCTCTTTCTGCCTCTCTGTAATTCTGCCTTTCAAATAAATAAATAAATCTTTTTTAAAAAAAGAGATGCTGTTTAGGATCGCTGCAGCCCTACCAACCTTCAGGTGCACAGCACACCCACATCCATTCATGATCACCTTCTGAAATGGATTCAATTAAGGAACAGACACCCGAGGAGACTGGGGAAAGGGAGAGACGCTGGCAGAGTTGGGTCCACCCGACTCTTTGAAGAAAACGCCTTACAGCACAGACTCCACTGCGTCTTCCCCTGCCCCAGCCCGGGCCGCCGCCTCCCGCCCGGCTCACCTTGCGGAAGCACAGCTCCACTTCCAGGTCCCCCTTGAAGGTGTACTGGGCCACGGCTTCCCCGTACTCCACCACCTGGTAGGTCGGTGGTTTGATGGGCTTGGGGATCTCATCTGCGGGCAGCACCTGCGGGAAGAAGGGGCCATGACAAGACTCAGCCTGCGCATCAGCTGGGCACACGCAGGGCTACTGGGGGAGCGAGGCCAGAAAAGACATCGATGGACCCCAGACTCGGAAGTGAGACACAAGCCCTGGGGGTGGGGGTGGGGGTGGGGGGAGGGAGGAGGCACAGCCGGGGGAGGCGGAGAGGAGAGGGGGCTACGGAGAGGTGTGTGGAGCGCAGAATGGCGAGTGCAAACGGCAGAAGCCAGTCGGATCAGGAGTTGAACTTGAATCACAGAAGGAAACGAAGCATTGCAAGGAGCAGGCAGCACCCTGGTCTGCGGGAACGCTGAGGACTTCACCTCTGACCTCTCGTGGGAACCAAGCATCCCCTGTGTCAGGAGTCCCGGGTCCTCTCCCCCTTCTGCCCGCTCCCACCCAGGTGCCCAGCCCCCCCCCCCCATTTCTCTTTGCGTCCCCCGCTCCTAACAATCAATGGTTTCACTCTAACGTATAGACAATGGACAGGGTGGAATGCTGGATTTATGCGGGTTCTTCACAAAATTCACGGAAAACACCACGCATGGATTTCCAGAAAACTCACGCTAAGTTGTCCCAACCCGTCCAGACAGGACCCAGTGTGAGACAATGAGATGGTGAGAGTCTATTAGCAGAACACAGAAGCGAGAACAAACCTCAAACTTATGGTCACTGGTGGTGCTTTACAGAAAGCTCACGGAATGACGCCCCCAAAGAGATCTGCAGTTCAGAGCTCATTTCCCACGAGCTTTGTGAAGGGCCCTAGTGTGCACCGTATCCTACTCCATCTGTCAGTCGCGTGGAAGAAGGCGGGAGATGCCAAAGACAGAGCCCACAGCGGCAGCCACCCACGGCAAGGGCGAGGCAAAGTTGATCATTTTTGGACCAAGGATTCATCAAAGAAACCGCGGCCGACAGCACAGACAGCTCATTGGTTCCACTGATACAAGTCTAACCTAAAAAGGAAAAGTGGATCAAACCGTCCACGGGCTGAGCACCAACACCGCCGTGCCCAGGTCAGCCGCGGCCAGGAGCGGAGCTTTCGAGGGACATTTTAAACAGGGGGAAGAACTGGAACAGGAGATGTAACGTACAATCCTGAAGGCAAAGCACAAGCAAAGCCACGGCTACCAAGCGGCACAGTGGTCCAGGCACAGCACGAGGGAATCAGCGCGGGGCAAAAGTCGCAGCAACAGTTTTTGAGGATGCTCAGGGCGTTTTGTTTGTTTGGCTCTTGGGGGTGTGGGGGAGGGCACAGACGGGCAGTATCTGCTTTCCTGGAAATGCTCAGAGAAAGCCGAGGAGTGAGGAGAGAAACAGCCGGAGAGTTCTCCATCACCACAGTGCTCCTGCTCAGTCCTCTCGCCACACCAGGCGAGTTCCTGAGTCCCCAGAAGAGACCATCAGAAATCCACCCTGAAGGGGCCGGCACTGTGGCTTACTTGGTTAATCCTCCGCTTGCGGCGCCTGCATCCCATATGGGTGCCAGGTTCTAGTCCTGGTTACTCCTCTTCCAGGCCAGCTCTCTGCTGTGGCCCGGGAATGCAGTGGAGGATGGCCCAAGTGCTTGGGCCCTGCACCCCATGGGAGACCAGGAGGAAGCACCTGGCTCCTGGCTTCCGATCAGCATGGCGGCCATTTGGGGAGTGAACCAACGGAAGGAAAACCTTTCTCTCTGTCTCTAACTCTGCCTGTCAATTAAATTAAAAAAAAAAAAAAAGAGAAAAAGAAAGAAATCCACCCTGAAGTCTTTTTCTTAAAAAGAGATTTATTTATTCATTTGAAAGTCAGAGCTACAGAGAGGGAGAGGCAGAGACAGAGACAGAGAGAGATTTCTTCCATTTTTCTGCTGGTTCTCTCTCCAAATGGCTGTAGCCAGGAGCCAGGAGCTTCTTCCGGGTCTCCCACGTGGGTGCAGGGGCCCAAGCACTTGGGCCATCTTCCACTGCTTTCCCAGGCACAGCAGAGAGCTGGACTGGAAGAAGAGCAGCCGGGACACAAACCAGCGCCCATAAAGGATGCAACTAGTGGCTTCACCTGCTACGCCCCAGCACCGGCCCCTCCTTAAAGCCTTGATTTGGTGCCTTCTGACTTCTTGTTTCTCACTTGTGAAAAATAATCATTTAAGGGCATCCATTTTTAAGCCATTCTAATGACATAAAAATGCTGCACTCATATGCTGGGTTCCCAGGCTTGTCAGATGGACTCAATGGCTGGTGCCTCAGTTACACACATTGCTCGCACTTGATGGAGCTCATGTTGTGAAATAAAGTTTATGTTTTATATTCGTTTATTTATTTATTTATTTATTTAGACAGGCAGAGTGGACAGTGAGAGAGAGAGAGACAGAGAGAAAGGTCTTCCTTTTTGCCGTTGGTTCACCCTCCAATGGCCACCGTGGCCGGCGCACCGCGCTGATCCGATGGCAGGAGCCAGGTGCTTCTCCTGGTCTCCCATGGGGTGCAGGGCCCAAGGACTTGGGCCATCCTCCACTGCACTCCCTGGCCACAGCAGTGAGCTGGCCTGGAAGAGGGGCAACCGGGACAGAATCTGGCGCCCCGACCAGGACTAGAAGCCGGTGTGCTGGCGCCACAAGGTGGAGGATTAGCCTAGTGAGCCGCGGCGCCGGCCAATATTCTTCTCTTTTTTAAAAGACTTATTTATTTGAAAGGCAGAGCGACAAGAAAGAAAGGGAGAGAGGAAGATAAGAACTTGCATCCACTGGTTCACTCCCACAAACAGCTGCGATGTCTGGGATAGGTCCAGGCCAAAGCCAAGGGCCTGGAATTCCCTCGGGGTTTCCCAGGTGGGTGGCAGGGGTCCCAAGAACTTGGGCTGTCTTCTGCTGCCTTCCCAGGTGCATTAGAAGGGAGCTGGATTAGAAGCAGAGCAGTTGGGACTTGAACCATTGCTCCGATATGGGATGCTGGCATTGCTGGCAGTGGTTTAACCTGGTGTGCCAGGATGCTGCCCCCTATTTTTATCTTTTAATTCAAAATTTCCATAAACATTTTTTAACAATTTTTTTATTTGAGAGGTACAGAGAGGGAGAGAGAGAAAGAAGGGTCTTCCATGCACTGGTTCACTCCCTAAATGGCTGCAATGACCAGAGCTGAGCTGATCCCAAACCAGGAGCCAAAAGCTTCCTCTGGGTCTCCCACGCAGATGCAGGGGCCCAAGAACTTGGGCCATCTTCTACTGCTTTCCCAGGCCACAGCAGAGAGCTGGATCGGAAGTGGAACAGCCGGGACTCGAACCGGCGCCCATATGGGATGCCGGCACTGCAGGTGGCGGCTTTACTGCCATGCTACCTGCAACGTCACAGCTCCGGCCCCTTCCATGAACATTTTCAAGTCCCCTCGTGCTTTGTGAAATTTCAGGCTCCTGGAGATCACTGTGCGGATGGGGGAGGCCTAATGATGCCTTTCAAATCAAGATCCTAAATCAACAAGCCCACCCATCATCAACAAGCGAGTCACAGAGGGAATGAGAACATGATTCAAGTTGAATGAGGAAAAAACGTGGGTGCAGACACCTGCGGTGCTGGTTAAGACGCCCCTACAGGACACCTGCATCCCTGGGAGCACCCAGGTTTGAGCATAGGTCTCATGCCAGTTTTCCTGCTAATGCACACCCCAGGAGGTAGCAGGTGATGGCTCAAGTTCATGGGACCCCGACACGCACATGGGAGACCAGGCTGAGCTCTGACCTGGCTTTAGCCCATCCCACCCCTGGCTGTGGCAGGCATTCGGGGAGTCAATCAGATGGGCGAGCTCTGTCTCTTTGCCTTTCACAGACATAAAACAACACATATTTCCTTTTGAAAATCAAAACACGTAGGATGCAACCAATGCAACACTGATAGGGAAATTCATAGCATTAAATTCTTACACTAAAAGATTTTAAATCAGGCCGGCGCCGCGACTCACTAGGTTAATCCTCCGCCTTATGGCGCCAGCACACCGGGTTCTAGTCCCGGTCGGGGCGCCGGATTCTGTCCCAGTTGCCCCTCTTCCAGGCCAGCTCTCTGCTGTGGCCAGGGAGTGCAGTGGAGGATGGCCCAAGTGCTTGGGCCCTGCACCCCATGGGAGACCAGGAGAAGTACCTGGCTCCTGCCATTGGATCAGCGCGGTGCGCCGGCCGCGGCGGCCATTGGAGGGTGAACCAACGGCAAAGGAAGACCTTTCTCTCTGTCTCTCACTGTCCACTTTGCCTGTCAAAAAATAAAAAATAAATAAAAAAACAATAAAAAAAGATTTTAAATCAATCACCCAAATTTTCACCCTAAAAAAACAGAAAATGGGGGCCCAGCATTCTGGCACAGTGGATTGAGCCGCTGCCTATGACGCCACCGTCCCAGATGGGTGCCAGATTCAGTCCCGGCTGCTCCACTTCTGATCCAGCTCCCTGCTAATGTGCCTGGGAAAGCAACAGCAGATGGCCCAAGTGCTTGGGCCCCTGCACCCACGTGGGAGACCCGGATGAATTTCCTGGCTCCTGGCGTCAGCCTGGCCCAGCTGCAGCAGGTATAGCCATTTGAGAAGTGAACAAGTGGATGGAAGGTCTCTCTCTGTCTCTCTCTCTCTCTGACTTTGCTTTTCAAATAAAAAAAAAAAAAAAGTCTTTTTTTTTTTTTTTAAAGAAACCAGTAGAGCTGGTGCTGTGGCATGGTAGATTAAGCCTGTGCCTGTGGTGCTGGCACCTCGTATGTGTGCTGGTTCAAGTCCCAGCAGCTCCACTTCTGATCCAGCTCCCTGATGATGGCCTAGGAAAGCAGTGGAAGATGGCCCAAGTGATTGTACTCCTGCACCCGAGTGGGAGACCCAGAAGAAGCTCCTGGCTCCTGGCTTCAGATCAGTCCAGCTCCAGCCATTGTGGCCAAATGGGGAGTGAACCAGCAAATGGAAGACCTCTCTCTCTCCCTCCCTCTAACTCTGCTCTCAAATAAATAAATAAATCTTAAAAACAACACAAAATGAAGAGCAAATTAAACCTAAAGCAAGTATAACAAAGAAAATAAGAGGCAGAATCCAATGAAATAAAAAACAAAAACAATGGAGAAAAATCAATGAGATCAAAAGCTGGTTCTTTGAAAAGATCAAGAAAATCAGTACATTTCTAGCCGGAATAAGAGAAGATAAAATTGCTCATCCAAAAATGAAAGAGAGAGGGGCCAGCATCGCGGAGCTGTGAGTTAAACTGCTGCTGGCAATGCAGAGTGCTGGTTCCAGTCCTAGCTGCTCAGCTTTCAGAGTGGATGGAAGACACCCCCTCCCCCCATCACTCTGCCTTTCAAATAAATAAACCTTGATCATTACAGACCTTACCGGCATTAAAGGACAATAAGGGAACATTATGGACAACTTTATGTCCATAAAGTAGACAGCTGACATTGCTTAAAAGGCACAAATGCTAGTCCCAAAGAAAACCTGTAAGCAAGTCCAGAACCTGGTTCTGGTACTGAAAAACCTGGGTTCAGGCCGGCGCCGCGGCTCACTAGGCTAATCCTCCGCCTTGCGGCGCCGGCACACCGGGTTCTACTCCCGGTCGGGGCGCCGGATTCTGTCCTGGTTGCCCCTCTTCCAGGCCAGCTCTCTGCTGTGGCCAGGGAGTGCAGTGAGGATGGCCCAGGTGCTTGGGCCCTGCACCCCATGGGAGACCAGGAGAAGTACCTGGCTCCTGTCATCGGATCAGCGCGGTGCGCCGGCCATTGGAGGGTGAACCAACGGCAAAGGAAGACCTTTCTCTCTGTCTCTCTCTCTCACTGTGCACTCTGCCTGTCAAAAAAAAAAAAAAAAAAAAAAAAAAGAAAAGAAAAGAAAAACCTGGGTTCAGATTCTAGAGTTTCCACTTAATAACTTGTTACCAAACCTTAGAAAGTTCACCTGTGGGCTGGGCACTGTGGTGCACAGGTTAAGCTCCCGCCTTCGGATGCGTTTATCCCACACCGGAGTGCCCGGTTCGAGTCGGATCCAGCTTCCTGCTGAAGTGCCCAGGAGGCAGCCAACAGTGACTCAAGTACTTGGGTCCCCACTGCCATCCACATGGGAGACCCAGGTGCAGTTCCTGGTTCCTGGTTTCAGCCTGACCCAGCTCTGGCCATTGTGGCCATCTGGGGAGTGAACCAGCGGATGGAAGATCTCTCTGTCTTTCCCTCTCTCTGTGTGTCACTCTGCCTTTCAAATTAAATCAATAAATCTTTTTTATTGATTTACCTTTAAATATTTATTTATTTGAAAGTCAGAGTTACAGAGAGGGAGAGACAAACAGAGAGAGAATCTTCCAACTATTGGTCCACTCCCCAGTTGGCTGCAATGGTCAGCGCTGGGCCAGGCTCAAGCCAGGAGCCAGGAGCTTCATCCAAGTCTCCCACAGAGGTAGCAGGGCCCAGACACCTGTGCTATCTCCCACTGATTTCCCAGGTGCATTAGCAGGGAGCTGGATCAGAAGTGGAGCAGCCGGGACCTGAAGAGCCATCCATATGGATGTCGGTGTCGCAGGCAGCAGCATTACCTGCTACACCATGATGCCAGCCCCAAATAAATTTTTGTTAACAAAGAGAGAAGCCCTGTCTTTCAAATGGGGACAATCCATTACGCCCCAGGGAAGTGAGTGGGTAATAGACCTGGAAGAGGTGACCCACATACACGTGATTTGTAAACTGTTACACCTGTCACACTCTCGTTAGCTGCAATTAGAATCACTCCCAACCACGCTATGGAAAGATGGCTTCTGAGTGGTGACAGCCTGGGACATGGATGGCTTCTGGTTTAGGAGCTGGGTCACTTGGCCACCCCCTCCCCCCATGCCTCGGCCCCATGCCCCGGCCCCATGCACTGGGCTCCACCCATAAACAGTAAACACTTCCTGGCCAACTGCAGTCAGTGCACTGGGTCAGACGGTGAGAGGGTCAAGGAGATTCAGCAGGTAAGGTGCCCGGGCTCCCCGTGTCACAGCCCAGGAAACCCGGGGTGTCTCTCCCAGCCCGCAGGCCCTCCCTTGCTGGCTCCAGTCCCTCGGGCTCACCTCCACGTAGTTAGCAGGGAAGATGCCTAGTCGGCCATGGTGCTCCCCTTCCAGCCAGTTCTTGTCCACCTCCTTGTGGATGTAGACAATGTCACCTTTCTGCAGAGTCAGCTCCCTGCAGGCCACAGCCAGGACGTCACAGCAAGCCCAGGCCCTGCCCCGCCTCTGGCGCCCCAGGTGCAGCCCGTCGCCCACCCCCACCCCCGCAGGGGAAGGCAGAGGTCAGGTCGGAACTTACTTGGGGGACTGCGCCTGGAAGTCGAACTTGAGCCGGGCGGCCTTCCTCTGGGCAGGGGAGGGGACAGAGTGGTGCCTCGGTCGGGTGGCAGATGAGGACCCGCCGTCCCTGGGAGCCCCCCCAGGCCCCCCCTGCAGGTTGCCTGACCCTGGTGCGCCTCCCTCACCTTCTTCTCGTCCCTCCTGGCGGGGCTGCCCCCTCGGTCGGCGGCCACGGGGTCTGTGGAGGAGCACCCGCTGAGGACATGCCCGGGGCCAGGCGGGGACCCTCCTGCCACCCACGGGAGCACCAGCACATCTGGCCTGGGCGGGCTGCGGGCCTCACCTCGGGCTGAGGAGGGGTAGACAAAATCCCTCCGCCCCAGGAAAGGGCTTCCTCCATCCGCCATTCTGTAGGGGCTCAGGGGTCGCGAGGAAGCCAGGTGAGACGCATGCGGGGTGCTGGAGCTCCAGGCGGAGGCCGTGCTGCGCAGGGGCACCGGGTGAGCAGCCGGGCGGGGCTGTCCCACGCCAGCCCGCTCGCCCTAAGGCGGCTCCCAGGTCCGGGGCTCTGGACAGGATGTCCCACTTCCCGAGCAGTGGCCAAGACCGGGAAAGGGTGAGGCCCGGGGCCGGGAGCGGCTGGGGAGGAGTGGGGGAGCGGCGGGGCTCCCCTGGCCGCCCTGAGCCGCCACTGGAGTCCTGGGTTTGGGGCAGGCCGCCCGCTGTGGGCGACAGGGCAGCCCCCTGCGGAGAGGGGCGGGCCCGAGGGCCCTCCTCCCCCCACTCCGCGCCACGTCCCCACCCCCACCCCCGCACAGACCCCCTCCTCCCGCCCCCATGCCCGCCACTCACCCGGCTGCGGGCCGCGGCTCCGGGGTCCGTCGGGGCGCCTGCGAGCTCTGTGCGGGGGAGACCGGGCGTGATCAGGACGCGGGACCTCGGGGCCCTGCGGTAGCCGCCGCCGCCGCCGCTCCGGAAAAGTTGGCGGCCGGCTCGGCTCGGGAGGGAAGGAGGGCCGGGCAGGGCAGGGACGCGGGGTCCTAGAGTGAGCCGCGCGCAGGCAGGCCGGAGCCCCGGCGCGGACAGGGAAGGCGCGCGCGGGCCACAGGCAGCCGAGCCCCGGAGGTCCGGGGTCCCCCGAGTGGGCGGGGCGGCGTGGGGGCGGGGAGCCGGCGGGCTGACGTGGAGTTGGCGGGGCAGGGTTGCTAGGGGTCCCTTGGGAAAGCCACCGCCCTGAAGTTTCAGAGAAAGAGAGCGCAGACCGGGCTGAGGTTGGCCGGGGCGGAGCGCGGGTGACGGCGGCCGCATCCCACGGAGGGAACTGGTACCTTGGGGGATGGCAGCCGAGTCTCGATGGCCCGCAGGTCCTTGTCCAGCTCAGCGCTCAGCTTGGCCAGCTCCCTCTCCAGCAGGACCTGGGGGTGGGGACACACTTGGGCAGTTGGGCAGTGGGGGGGGGGGGTGGCCAAAGGTCTGATGCGGGAGCCTGCCTGTGAGTGCGAGGCCAGCCCCTGGCCTGCCAGCCTGCAGGGAGGTGGGGCTCCCGGTGTCAGGCTGCAGACACAGCCCCTTCCTGCCACCTTCCTTCTCTGCCCCAGGGCCCCCACGCTCCCTCTCCACGGCCTCGGCAGTGCCAGCGGGGCCCTGCGGCTCAGCACCACGAACAGGTGCACACCCCCACCCCATTGCGGCTTCTGCTCCTCCCCCGGGATGCCCCTGTCTGCCTGGCCCAGCCTTTCCCTCTTCTTAGAGACCAGGTCTGCAGCCAGAACTTCTGCCAGTCGCAGTCCACGCTAGTGCCTGCCTTCTCGACTCCTGATTTGGTCAACACAGGTTTCTGGGGCCGGCGCTGTGGCGCAGCGGGTTAATGCCCTGGCCTGAAGCGCCAGCGTCCCATATGGAGGCCGGTTCTAGTCCCGGCTGCTCCGCTTCTGATCCAGCTCTCTGCTATGGCCTGGGATAGCAGTGGAAGATAGCCCAAGACCTTGGGCCCCTGCACCCACATGGGAGACCCAAAAGAAGCTCCTGGTTCCTGGCTTCGGATTGGCCCAGCTCCAGCCATTGCAGCCAACTGGGGAGTGAACCAGCAGATGGAAGACTTCTCTCTTTCTCTTTCTCTTTCTCTTTCTCTTTCTCTTTCTGCCTCTCTCTCTCTCTGGGTAACTCTTTCGAATAAATAAATAAATCTTAAAAACAACACCACCACCACCACACATTTCTGTGCAGTGTGTTCACCAAGTGCCCACTGGACACCAGGCCCCGTGCTTGGTGCCGGGAGCAGAGGTGAGCTGTGACGGGACCACACAGTCTCCCTGCCCCTCACCCCCAGCACTTACCTCGATGGGCTGGGAGGGCTTCTCCACAGGGTTGTTGTCCACCAGGGGTTTCTTTGGCTGAAGGGGAGGGGAGGGTGTGTCAGAGGCTGGGGGAATCCCAAAATGCACCTGCCAAGGCCCCGTGTCTGCTCCCAGAGGCCCAGGCCGGCACTCACCTTCTGCCCAGTCTCTATTTCATGCAGAAACTGGTTCCACGAGTCTTCTGCCCAGACGCTGTCTTTCTCCCGGCGTCTGGGTACCGGCGCCTGGATGGGGGTCCGTGGGCATTGTTCGGGAGACTGGCCAGGCTCACAAAGCAGGTTTTTGGGGCCCTTGCCCCACCCTCTCTGGCCCCCCTAGTGCTCCCCCCTCCGCTTTGCTGTGCTGTCAGCAGAGGGGAGCCGGGAAGGGTGCTGCGCGGACGGGCTACCTGATTTGGAGGCGGGGGTCCAGAGGAGGACACTCCAGGACTGCAGGTAAAGGTGCTGCTCGGTAGCTCTCCAGTGTGGTCCCAGATTTTCCTGGAGAAAGGGAAGGCAGTCTCTTCAGGCCCCTTTTAGGGAAACTGAGGCAGGAGTGAGCATCCGGCCCCGCCTCCACCTGCTCTGCCTGCCCCCTGCCCCTTCCTGGGAACACCAGGAATGGCCGGGCTGGGGAATGAAGGCCTGACACACTCGTGTGTCCCCCTCCTGCTGGCCTGTGGCTGTGGCCGTGGCCGTGGCTGTCTGTGCAACTTTGACAAAGCCTGTGGCTCCCATCACCGAGTGCTCTTCCACCTCAGGGAACAGGGCTGCAATGCTGTCCCAAGGAAAACCCAGGCACCCTGAGAAAGTCGCTTCTGCTCCGTGGGCCTCAGTTTCCTGAAGGCACTGAATTTGGTGACCTCATCTGTGTCCACTGAGGCACTTGCGCGGTCACGTCCACCCCAGCCCTCCTCCAGGGACCCCTCCCTGGCTGCCTTAACTTCCCCAACGTCTCTGTAGCAGTGGCTACAGCGGAGCCAGTGGAGCCACTGCACGCGGCTTAGCAAGCGGGGGAGCTGCCTGACCGGAGATCAGCGTTCGCTGGCTGTGACGCTGTTCTGACTTTAGGAACAACAAGACTGCTCATGAATATGGAATTTAGCGTTCCTAATTCCAGAAGAGCTCCGGTCATCACATGCCCCCGCCTCTTGCTGGTGTTTGTGTAGGATGGCTCTGTGCGAGCCACACCATTCCACTGACTCCTCTCAGTCGCCTCGTGACCCCTGCTGAAGTGACAGGGAGAGCGAGGCTCAGATGGGTGAAGTCACCCAGGGTGCCCTGGCCAGGAGCAGCGCACAGGGCCCTGAACCTAGATCTCTGGGCCCGAAACTTGAGCGCTCTGCATCTCTGCCTCACTGATTCGGCCAGGAGCCACGGGTCAGGTAGGGCCGTGCTACTGAGCTGCAGGCAAAGAAGAGAGTCATGGATTTGACTTTGAGAGCAAGGCTCCTCATTCCCCAAGGTCGGGCTGGGCCCCTCCATGGCCCCGGTGGCCAGCATAGTACAGGAAGCCCTCCCTTCACTCCTGGTGGGGCTCCTCTCTCTGCAGCCTCAGGCTTTGAAGTAGAGGGCCTGCATGGCTCTGTCCCCCGCACCCTGCCCCCGCTGCGGCCACCCCTTCCCCTGACACCTGGGTGACCTGCGAACCTACAGGATGACGAATGAGATCTTCCTGCTGAGCACCTACTTGTCCCAGGCATTCCTGACCAGGGTTCTAGATCCTGCACCCCCCCCCCACCTGCCTTTGCCCCTGGCAGTGGGGAGGGGTCTCTGACCCAGACACTGTCCAGCCTGTGCCAAGCTGTGCCTTCTGTGACCACTAGGGGGCACCAGTCCCTGCAGGGCAGTGCCCGCCCCATCCTTGCTCACCGGCTCGAAGTCCCCACTGGGCTGGGCCTGGAGCTGGGTCTTTGCTGGGGTCCTGGATGTCGGGGGTCTGCAGATGAGAGATGGGAAGAAAGCACTGAAGGTGGGAGAAGCCGGGATGGGTGGCCACGTCCGGTTCCAGCACCCGTGACCAACTGAGCTTCTCTGTGGCCGGCTTGTGGGGATGGGGTGGCACTCCGCGTTTTGTCCCAACATCTTGACACCCTGTACTAAACCTGCAACACAACTCTGGGGTGGGTACTGTCCCCCTTTTGGCAGATGAGCAGAGAAAAGTGCAAAGAAACCACGCCCAGGGGCCGGGGAGCTCACGGGACAGGAGCTGCAGGGACGTGTCTGGCAGCACTACCTGGGAGCGTCTGTGCCCACACCCACGCACCTTTGGGTGGCTCCTCGGAGGTCCAGTCCAGCTGCAGGTCTGCAGGAAGGGAAAAGGCCCAGGTCACAGATGGGGAAGAAGGCAGGGCCGGGCACCCTGGGAGGCCGCCTGGGCCGCTCCCAGCCTCCCCCCCTCCCACCCGCAGCATGGAGCCGAGAGCTGAGTCAGGGCCTGAAGAATGTCCCAGGGAGGGGAGGAATTAGGAGGGCAGCCCTCGGGAGGGCTTGAGATGCCTCTGGCAGACCGAGGGCCTGAGCGAGCCAACCGGGCAGCGGCGCCGGGCCCAAAGCCTCCCGCCCCTCCCCTCTGTTCCCACACCCGCCCTCTGCTGACCTCCGCGGGCCTGCCCTCACTCGCAAGCGAGCCGGGGATGTCAGGCCGACTGGGCTCTGTCCTCTGTGCGCGGGCTTCTGAGAGATGCGCTCCCCCATGCCCTGCCCCCGCCCGCAGGGTACAGCTGCCCCTCACACACGCCTGCTGCAGTAACTACCTTCCACGCAAACCCCCCACCCCCCGCCCACAGGGTACAGCTGCCCCTCACACACGCCTGCTGCAGTAACTACCTTCCACGCAAACCCCCCACCCCGGTCGCCACAGCCCACACTTGTCCCCCCGCCGGATGCTCCTGCTTTCGTCGGCCCGCCACTCTGGCCCCGGAAACACACCTCTCTGGAGTTCTCAGCCTGCAGGTGCCTGGGGGCTCAGTTTTTTTTTTTGCGGGGACTCCTTGTCTCTCCATCTCCCTAGATCAGCTCATCTCCTCTTACTGATTTAAAAGATGCCGTCACACTCCCCCCTCCCAGCCCCCAACCCACTGGGTCTAAGCCAAAGTACTCAGAAAGGCGTCTCTGTGCTTGCTCTGAACATGTTTGGATTTGTTTTCCTCGTCATTGTTCCCTAAACAACCCAGCGCAGCAGCCAGCCCCGTGGCGTGGCCAGGGTACCAGGTGTTTTAAGTAATGGAGAGAGGATGTAAAGCAGCCGGTGGGGGTGGGTAAGCAAATGCTGCCACATTTTAGCAGCTACGGATCTGGGTATCATGGATGTCTTGGGACAGAGCCCCTGCAGATCCCGAGGGACCACCTGTGCCCTCTGTTCCCGATTCACAGCCCTGGCGGCACCTTAGACCTACCGGACAAACTATTCGTCAAAACCTCTTTGGGGGTGGGGCTCTGTTGTGTTGCAACGGGCTTGTGACACTGGCCCCCCACATCGGAGTCCCTGCTACCCCTCTTCTGATCCAGCTCCCTGCTAACATTCCTGAGAAGGCAGGGGAAGACGGCCCGAGTGCCTGGGCCTCTGCCAGCCATGTAGGAGGCGCAGATGGAGAGCCAGGCTCCTGGCTTCAGCCTGGCCCAGTCCAGGCTACTGTGGCCATGTGGGAAGTGAACCAATGAATGCAAGACCTCTCTCTCTCTCTCTCTCTCTCTCTCTGTCTGTCTGTCTCTCCCTATTCTCACTCCCTCTGCCCCCGTTGCTCTGCTTTTAACATAAATATATAAATAAATAAATAAAATAAATCTTAAAAAGCAGGAGAACCTTCCTGGGAGGAGTCCAGCGTCCTTGAACTACAGACTGGGGCAGACACGCGCCTGCAGATATAAAACACACCTGCAAACGAACCCCTCTGGCATCTGCTGCCCCTGCAGGCGTCCCTGCCTCTCCAACCTCCACCCGGCTCAGGCAGACGCTCACCCTGACTCCTCCCCCTTCACGGCACCGTCCAATCCGTCTGCAGATTCCAGGGACTGTCCTGGACGTCCATCCACGCCCACCGCGTCCACTGCCTCCGCCCTGGGCTGAGACAAGAGGGTCTCGAGCCTGAGTCAAAGCAAAGCCTCCACAGTGGCCTCTGCCCCCCTAGCCCATACCAAGCACGGGACAAACGGCTGGTGCATCTGCCTGCTCTTCTCCACGTGGCAGCCAGGGGGAGTCTTTTCAGCTGTCGCCATCAGCACACACCTCTGTTCAGAACCTCCCCGTGGCTCATCTCTTGCAGAGTAAAACCAAAGCCCTTATGCTGGCCCCAACGGCCCTACCACTCTGACTCCAGACCCACCCAGGTGCTCCTTGCTGGCCTAGAACCTGCAGGCAGGCTTCTCCTCCTGGTGGGAGCGCCCTCTGCTGGACATTCCTCCCCCAGCTGTGGGCTCAAAGGCCACTTAGTTGTGGGTCCCTAGCGCTGTCTCCCCCCAGTCTCTCCCACCTCCTGCCATGGCCAGAAGGTCTCCCTTTTGTCTTGAGCACCTACAGTAGTGCCTGGTACCCAGCAAGTGCTCAATAGACAGTCAAGGGCTGACCGAGCTGGCCGAGCGGGTGCCTGGCCACTTGCCACACCCTCCCCAGGGCTGGCTGCATTCCGGGTGGTGAGGGCGAGCCGTGCCCAGCAAGGAAGATCAGCCACTCCTGGGGGCATTACAGCCCAGAGGGGGATGCAAGGCATCTCAGAAAAACACTGCTATTCCAGCACCTGCGGGGGGCACCGGGGAAGAGGGCGTGGGTGCTTCGGGTGGGGGGGGCCGCTCTGGAGACCACGGGGGTCCCATGGACCCACAGGGGACAGAGCGGACTGTGTTCTGGCCCTTTCTTGTTGGTGTCATTTTATCACGTCTAAAGTGTTTTCGGAAGCACCTTACAGAAACAGGACACCCCAAAGCCGAAGCAAACCGACCAGCAGGACTCGCTTAGAGCGGACGCTATCTGTACACTGCTCAGTGCCACCGGCGCCCCATCAGAGCGGCCGAGCCCTCGGCTCAGTGAGAAGGGCCTCGGGGAGACGGTGCGTGGGTGAAGCCCTGTCCGGCCCTAGTTCGGGACCATCCTCTCCCCAGAGCCTGAGGGGAGGACCCCCTGGGCAGCGAGCACCCCTTTTCTGTCGGGCACGGGGCCCTAGATGGGGGTCTGACCTGGCATCTTGCGGTGAATCTGCTGGAACATCCTCCGGTACCAGTCCCGGGGGCTGTCGACACTCTGCGACCAGGAAACACCAAGTCAGAGCCCCGCCCTCCCAGGCTCCCCACGCCCAGCCCCAGCGTTCTCCCCAGTGAGGCCTCTCTGGACGCCCCTGGAGCCCCGGTGTGCAGGCTCGCTTCTAACATCACACAGTGTGTGTTTATTTATTTGTTTGTTTAAGATTTATTTATTTATTTGAAAGGCAGAGAGGCCGGCACTGTGGCATAGCGGGTTAAGCTGCCACCTGTGGCGCCAGCATCCCATATGGGTGCCAGTTCGAATCCCAGCTGCCCCATTTCTGATCCAGCTCCCTGCTAATGCACCTGAGAAAGCAGTACAAGATGACCCCAGGTGCTTGGGCCCCTGCACCCATGTGGGAGACCTGGAAGAAGCTCCTGGCTCCTGGCTTCGGCCTGGCCCAGCCCCGACTGTTGCAGCCATTTGAGGAGTGAACCAGCAGATGCAAGCTCTCTCTGTCTCTGTCTCTCCCTCTCCCTCTCCCTCTTTCTCTCTCTCTCTCTCTCTCTCTCTCTCTCTCCCTGTAACTCTGCCTTTCAAATAAGTAAAAATAAATCATTAGAAAAAAAAAAAAAGAAAAGAGAGGCAGAGAGAGAGCACAGTTCCTTCCACTTTTATTTATTTGTTTTTCCTTATTCGAAAGACAGAGATCTTCCATCTGCTGGTTCACTCCCCACAAGCCTAGAATAGCTGGGGCTATGGCAGGGCCAGGCCAAAGGCAGAAGCCAGGAACTCAATCCTGGTCTCCCACGTGGGCAGCAGTGACCCAAGTACTGGAGCCATCACCTGCTGCCAGGTGAGCACCCGGGCGCTGCACGGGAAGCGGAGGTGGGACTTGAACCTGGTGTTCTGATATGGGACGTGGGCAACCCATGTGGCATCAACAGCTGTGCCACGCCTCCCCCATGACTTACCTGTTTTTCTCTTTGCTTTTCTATATTCCTAGTGCTTCTACAAAGAACCTGTAGCGGGTGGTACTTCTTGCCACCTGCCTCACCTGAGCCTCCAGGCTGCCCTGGGTCAGGTGGGAAAGGCATGGTACCAACTCCAGCGTCCCAGTGCCAACACACAGCTGGCGAAGGCTGGGCGGAAGGGAGAAGGACAGGGCCTGCCTCTCCCAGGGATCCCAGGATCCCTCCACGCTGCCCTAGCACTGGGCTTCTCACTCAGGACTCAGCACTGAGGCCCGGGGGCTGTAACAGTGAGTCCCTGGCCGGCTTAGTCTAAGGTGCTCCACCTTTGAAAGCCGGGGCTAGGGGACAGGGGCACGGAGGGTTAAATAAGCCTGAGAAACTGGCATCCCATATGGGTGCCGGTTCGAGTCCTGGCTGCTCCACTTCTGATCCAGCTCCCTCCTAATGCACCTGGGAAAAGCAGCAGAAGATGGTCCAAGTGCCTGGGTCCCTGCCACCCACGTGGGAGACCCAGATGGAGTTCCAGGCTCCTGGTTCCTGGCTATTTGGACAGAACCAGTGGATGGAAGATCTCTCTCTCTCTCTCTCTCTCTCTCTCTCTCTCTCTCCTCTGCCTTCCTCTAAGTCTGCCTTTCAAATGCATCTTAAGAAACCCTGGGGAGGGTTCTAGATAAGAACTCTACCCCCCCACCCCCACCCATCCCCCACTCGTTCTTTTTTGTATTTTCCCCCATATTCACCTTTAACAGGAAGGAAGGGCATGTAACTCTGCCCTGCAGGCCATGGCAGTTGAATCCCTGTTTTGTCTGGAATGACTTGGAGACAGCCTTTGTCACCTTGTGCCCCCCCCCACCCCGCCCCACCCTTCCCCCCCACCTCAGGCTTCAGCTCACAGACTCGGAGGTCAGGGTAGGTCCCTGGACTCACGGATCGGGGGGCGATGGGCATGCCGCTCTCATCCACGGGCCCAATGCCTTCGTACTTGACCCAGCGCTTGTCCCGGCGCCTGCTGTCCTTGGTCCACGTGGCTGACCAGTTCTGGGCGTGCGGGGAGGCAGGGGTCTTCGGGCTGGCAGAGGGCCGGCTCCCAGGGCCTGGCCAGGTCTGATACCAGGCAGGCTCTGTGGGCATGGGCAGCTGAGCGTTAGCCGAAGGCAGGGGTGCCCACCTGCACCCGCCTTGCCCCCTTGCTGCTCCCAACAGCGAGCCCCGTGGGGTCAAAGTTTCAACATTTGTTTGTCTGAGCAGTGACGCAGCCTCTGCAAGCCAGCCGGTCCCTGGCCGCAGCGCAGGCCTCTGTTTGTTTACTTCTTAGCTACAGTGAACTAAAGCGGATTTTGTTTTGCGAGCTCTGTGCCTGTCCCCGCCCACTCTGGCTTTCCTGGGACCGTCCTGAGCTTGTTCAGGAACTTTGTAGAGCACGCTGGGGACATCCCAGCCAGGGTGTGGCTGCAATGGTGCCAAGTCAGATGCCAGCTCTGCGAGCCACCAGCTGGGTGACTTCGATGTCAATCACCCACTCAGGGCCTCGGCTGCCACTTCTGTCACCCCAGGGTGACCGTGGCCAAGACTCAGTGACACCTGCTGTGCCCAGCATGCCCACTAGGCTCTCAGGGCAGGTCGGAAGCTCGATTCCCAAGACACAGCCACCATGTGCCCCCTTAGGCAGCCAGAGCGGCGGCTTGGGGCCTTCGGGGACAGACGGACAAGGCTTTGACTGTCAGCTCCACGCCTGTGACACTTGGGTTTGTCACTGGGAGACATCCATCACCGTCCCTTACTGTGCCAGGATACGGAGCAACTAAATGAGGCAAAGCTTAGGGACTGTCTTCACAGCGCCCAGCGCGCTCCGAGTGCGCGACTATCCTTTGTTAGGTGAACAAAGCCCCCTTTGCACTCCCTCCTCAGCAGAGGGCCAGGCTCTGCTGGACCCCAGAGCCAGGCTGCCAGGCTCCCGGGGCGGCCTGGGCACAGACCCTTACGTGGCTCGTAGGGGCTCCACCTGCAGGCCTCCTGGAGCCGCAAATGCCCACACCCCTCCACCCGTCCAGCCCCAAGCCAAGTGACGCCTGGCCTGCCAGAGGTGCCCCTACTCCCTCTGCCTGGCCCTCATGGCTCCTACACACTTCCTTCCGCTGCCAGGAGGCGGGAGAGAGAAGGGATGCGTCAACCTACTCTCTCCACTCCTGTGGCTCTCTCTCGCAGGGTCAGCAGGCTCCCAGAAGCCTCTAGGGAACTTCCTCATGGCTGTGAGACTCCCCTTCACTCCCCCCCCCCAATTGGCTGGTGCTACATGGTGGGCCCAGGGATCCCGCCCACCCGTGCCCGGGGACTCCAGGAGCAGGTCTTTGCAAATCTACCTGGGTGCCGGACAGCATCCCTCCTGGGTGGGTAGTAGCCATTGCACACGGTCCTGGGCGCGGGATCGTGGAACTGGAAATTAAGGGTGTTGGAGCCACCATTCCGGATCACAGGCACCTGTGGGAAGGGGCCAGGAGCGGCCGCTCAGGGCCCAGAAGGGCCTGCATGAGGCAGGGAGGGAAGGCGGCCAGCCCGACCGCTCTGTGGAGCTCGCCCGCCTCCCTGCTCCACCCCTGCACGCCACCTGATCGGCCGGTGCCCCGGCAGCTGGGGCCCCTGGTGCTGCCGCACTCACCCGTGTGCCCTGGGATGCTGAGCCCACGCGGGCCCGCAGGTGCCCAGGGATGAAGTCGTCCAGGCTGAGCCCAGCGGCGAGGCTGCAGGGGGCGCCCTGCATGCTGGCGTCAAGGTCAGAGGCCGCAGGGTGCGCCCGCTGCTCCTCCGAGTGTCCTCTGCGGGGAAGAGGAAGGAAGGGAAAGCCCAGCTTGGGCCTGGGCCACCTCTGCCCTCTCTGCTCAACCCTGGAGTCCGGGGGGAGGGGCTGGCTACGGGAGGGCTGGGCCCAGCTGGGTGGGAACTCAAGGACCCAGGAAACTGTGGGCACCGGCCTGCAGGCTGCCCGTGCCGGCTCCCGGAGGCACAATGGGCTGCTTGTTAGGCCCCGGTGGGAAGGGGGGAGGGGAGGCCTGGGCCAGGAGGAGGAGGAGGAGGAGGAGGAGAGGGAAGGTGGCCAGCCTGCGGACCTGCGGGCCTGCGGGCCAGGCACGGGGAACTGGGGCGCACAGGCAGAGAGGGGACTTTGTTTCAGTTCCCTCTGCCTCCTCCAGGCCCTGTGGGAGCATCTGCTTGCCCACGGGCACAAGCGATCACTCCAGCTGGGACGAGGCGGGGGAGGGGGAAGGCCCTGCCAAGGGCAAGGCCACCGCCCACTGCCGCTGGGAAGCAGCTGGTGGTGCCCCAAGTCCAGAGCGTGGGGGGCATTTCCCGGCAGCAGGAACCACTCCTCGTGATCCACTCTGGACGACTCAGCGGACTCCGGTGCCAGGGAGGGGTGGGGTGAGAGAGCCGCCCAGGCTGGGCCTGCTCAGGCTCATGGAGGGGTGGGGCCGAGCCCCCTTGGGTGTGTGCGTGCAAACACACACCCTCCACACTTTTTCCTGCACCTCCAAGCTGCTTGGTGGTCTCTGGCTGCAGCACCCCTGATTGGCCCCGGGCAGAGGCCAGGGGGGCTCCAGGGGCCCAGAGGAGGTTGCTAGAGGGTCTTGGGGTAGAGCGGCTGAGGGCCGGGGCACAGAAGCTGCCCCTTCTCCCCTGTGCTTGCTGGATTGAGCCAGCCTCTGCCAGCTTCAGGGCTGGCCCCAACCAGACCTGGATCCTGGATGGGCGTGTGACGTCCGAGGAGGCTCCCTGGGAGATGCTGTGGGGCAGGGGGATGACTCTGTGGGGGAGGGGAGGCTGCCAGGGGACCGCGTGGGCAGCGCTGGGGCGGGCACAGGGGCTGTCAGCTGAATCGGGTGTGCCTGTGTGGTGGGCAGTCACATGAGCGGTGCAGCCGGGGCCTGGGGGCTGAGAGGAGGCTGATTCCTCTCCTGAGCCGACTTCCTGCTCCAGCCTGGGAGGCCGGCGGGGGTAGCGCCCAGGCTGGGGGCAGCCCCCGGCTTCTGGGGGCCTCTGAGCCAGCTGTGGGGTCTGCAGCCCTTCTGTGCCCATCCCTGACTGGGGCGGGGGGAGACGAAGGACCCGGCTGTGCTGGAGGAGGGGCTGCTCTCCAGCTGGAACCAATTAGGACTCCTACCAAAAGTAACACACAGACACACCCCATTCCTGCTGCCCTGACTCCTCGAAGGGGAAATCGAGGCAGGGCAAGAGGCTTGCCCCGAGCCAGCGGCCCTGGCTGGGACCCCTCCCCAAAGGGCCACGCCTGGAGGCCAAGCTGCAGGCTCAGCCCCGAGGTCCCCAACGTCAGCTGCCCCGCGCCTTCCTGCCCCAGCCCCAGCCCCAGCCAGCGGCCAGCTCGGGGAGGGCTGACCCCCGCAGGAGCCTCCCCACACGGCCCCCACTTTCAGGGGCTACCGCAACTGTCCCTCCCCAGCTCTGCGCTCCGTGACGCACCCCGCAGGAGCGCGCAGGGCAGGGGCTGTGGGGGTCCCAGTTTTCTCTGCTGGAGGACAGCAGGAAGAGCTTCTCACCGGGGCATCTCTGAGCGGCCCCACCCCCACCCCCGCCCTAGGGCTGTTCTGATGGGAGGGGGAGCGGGGGGTGGGGGCTCGGCCCTGTGCGCTGTCCCAGGTATTCTCCAGCCACAAGTCCACGTGGGCGAGGCGGGTTTTCTCCAAGTTCGCCTTTTCTGGATTGGGAAGCCGGGACCTCACACCTCTGCGTAGTGCGGAGTTCAGGACCAAACCCCGGAGGAGGGGCTCCGTGCCTTCGTCGCCACGGGCCGTGGGTCCCGCCCCCGCCGCCGCCTCGCCTCCTCCCACGCCCCCTCTGCTTCCCCCCACACCTACCTTGCCTGGCGAGCAGGTGGCGGGGGCCGAGGCCGCCCTGGAGGAGGGCAGGGGCATCCCCGCCCGGCTCCTGCCTGGCGCGGCCTTGGCGGGCCCCGGCGGCGCGCGTGACCGGGTCAGGAGAGGGCTCGGCCAGACTGGGCGCCCGAGGAGGAAGAGGGAGGCAGGACCAGGACCGTGAGAGTGGCGCGACGCGGCGCGGCGCGGCGCGGGTGGAGTTTGCGTGTGCGACAGCTACTCCCCTCACTCCCGCGGGGCTGCGAGCGCGCTCGGTCCTGGCGAGCCGCGCCGCGGGACGCCGGTGGCCCCCTGCCCGAGGGGCCGGGCCGGCGGGGAGGCGGCGCCGGGAGGGGCCGCCGAGGGTCCCCGGGGAGCCCGCTCTGGTTTCCCAGCCGCCCTCCCCGGTCCCCACCGCTGGGCTGGCGTCGGGAAGGGGGAGGGCGGGCCGGCGAGGGCCACTCAGAGTTTCCAGCGACATTTCCAGAGTGTGGGAAACGAGGTTCTGCGCCGGCGGAGCCAGGACAGGACGCGAGTGCCGAACGCGAGCGAGCCGTGCGCCCCGGGGCCCTGGGGAGGCGCCTGGAGGACCCGAGGAAGCACCCCGCCGCCCGCCCCCGCGGGACGAGTGGGTGCCGCGTCGCCTGGGTCAGACACACGCGCGCGCGCGTGCACCTGGCGGCCGGCGGACGCTCACACACGTGCAAGCCCCGGGAGGAAATCACCCCGAGGGAGCGCCCCCCCCCGGGCGTGCCGCGCCCCTGAGAGGATGAGGGTGGGGTCCCTTGGGCGGGGACGGGGTTAGGAGGGTCTCGGTGTTCCCATACACCCTGTTTATTTTGATGTTCCTGGTCTTCCGCTGTTCCTGCTGCCCCGCCCACTGGCTCTACGTTCCCTGGAGCCATGCTCTCTTGAAGTTTCCAGAAAGTGAGGGTGCTTGGGACTGGGCACTGAGAGTGGACACTGACCCCAGAGTACCTCCAGCCCTCGGCTTGCCTCAGGGACCCTGGTGCGCCACAGCAGCCATCAGGCAAAGTTATTGATCAACCTCAACTCCATGTTGGGAGGAGTCAGGAAAAGATGACAACTCCTACTGCACACCTGCTGGGGGAGGGGCTGGCGTGGGAGGTCACCGCGTGCTTCCGTTTCCCCAGCACACCACTCAGTTCACAAGACACGGAGCCGGGTCCATCCCAACCCCCAACACTGCTACTTAGTGCCCTGTTTTCCCCGGTCCAGGTCCAAGAGCTTCTGGGTTGTGCGGAAACAGCTCAGCCATGCAGGCTGAAGAAGATGGGCATGCCAGCTCGCTCCCCAGGGTCGGCCTGCGGCCACATCCTCCTCCCCGCCTCTGACACCAAGGAGGGGCCCGTTTCCCTGGTCAGGAGCTGTTCCCACCTGTTAGGCTCCTTGGGACTAAGGAGGGCCATTTCACTTTCATTTTCTTCCTTGTTCTCCAAAGATGGTGCGGCTGAAGATCTTCCAATTGCAGGAATCCTGGCCATGCCCTCTGCCCAGCCACGAGCTTCTTACTCTCCAGGGCTCTGACCTGGACTCCAAGATAAATATTTAATGTAGAGGGGGCCGCCAGCTGACAAAGATCCCAACTTCCTGTTTCTCACAAAAGGGGCGAAGAGCTAGGGCCGGCCCGCAGCCTCATCTCCGTGGGAATGGGAGCTCAGTAAGCAGCTTCGGAAGAGCGGAGACCTGGGCCTTTTCCTTCAGCGGTGGACTGGGGCCTGTCCACCTGGGCCTGGCCTGGGCGGCGCCCACCCCCTCTCCCGGCTCAGAGCCCACCCTCCTCTCCATGCGACCCATCTGGCCTCACAGAAGGGAGGCGGGAAAGAGGCTGGTGGGGCCGCGGGGCCAGGGAAAACATTCGCAAAGCTGACCTGCTCCTCCTTCGCTGCCCATATTTAGTGAGAATAATCCCTCCTCTTTGAAACGCAGATTAAGAAGAGGGGTGGGGAAACAGGAGGGTCAGGATTCTGACCGGGAGCCAGGGGTCTGGTTTCGCAGCCCCTCCCCCTGGCCGCACTGCCTCCACAGCTGGCACGGGTTGAGGGCAGGCTGTCCTAGATATCAACAGAGTCCTCTATCCCAACGTGCACTCTCTCCACCCCACACTTGCCTATGTGAGAGGGACCCACCTCTGGGCTCCTCTGCCTTCCATGGTCATCTCAACCACAGTAGACACAACTACAGAACCACGTAACTGCGGTCTTCGGGGCTCCCATCACCAGCGTCACCCCCTGGAGGCTGCCACCTGTGGATACCCCTGCTGGGAAACCCCCCCCCCCAACTCACAGAGAACTGCCTCTGGGGTGCGGACGGTGGGCTGAGAGGAGGGGCATAAGCCGGACTCTGTTTTCTGGAGGGGGGTCTTGGCCCAGCACTGGGAGGCTGCTGTCCACCCGGCCAGTTTCACATCCACCCTGAGCACCCTTGGTGCTCCCGTTTTAGATAAAAAAAGGGCACCTGCTGCTCCCTGTCCCTTCCCAGGGGGTGAACCCTGGGGTGTCCTTTAAGCCTGTTTTGTGTTTGTGCTGGCAGACGGGACCTGAGCAAGCAGAAGAGGATGGACCAGCTAGGGAAGCGCCAGCCCTTTCCAGCAGTGTGCACTTCTCGGGGGAGGGGTGGGGGTGAAGGCCACAGTGACACAACAGGGAGGAACCGAAACCAAGTCCCGAATCCGCACTGTGTCTCCTCCCCCGGGCCCCCTCCCTTTCTCCCGGGCCCCTTCCCGACTCCGGTGCCCGCTAATGCTACTGATGGCCCTTGTCTGCACGGGCCACTCGTGGGAACAGGGGCAAGCGGGGTGCCAAAATGCAAGTGACCCACTTTGGGGCTTTTGAAAGGCCCCCCTGAAGCTGGCAGCGACATGGCCTGGCCCCTCTGGGCACAGTCTGTGAGTGAAAGACGCTCTGTGTCGGAGCCGGCAGTGCAGAGGGAGCGTGTGTGCGCCATAGCGCCGTATGGAGAGACGGTGGTGATGCTTTGGGGCCTCCCTGTGCACACAGGATGCGACGGGAACCCACACGAGGGTCTCAGGGGAGGGGCTGAGACCCCACCCGAAGCCTGACAGCTGTGAGGGGACGCGGTCTTTTGCCTAGTTTGCCGGTCCTCCAGGCGACACCACAGCAATGCCTCTCCTCTTGTCACGGGGTGGGGTGGGGGGGCAAGTACAATGTGCCATGGGGTGCCTCTGAGAACCCAGGGCCAGAGCCGCTGAGGACGGCGAGGCCAGTGGCGCTCAGCTCTTCAGACAGTCCGTTTTGTAAGGGGAGGATAATGAGAGATGAGCTCAGAGCGAAAACCCAGCCAAGTCCCCTCGGCCACAAAGAAGGGCGCAGAACCAACAGCGGGAAAACGAGGTCTCCCAGCGCGCAGAAACAGAGAGGCAAGATAAGGGGCGGGGTGTTGGCCAGGGGACACCATGAGGTAGTGCTCTGGCCCCCGGACAAAGACTAACCTTGTCTCCCCACCTCCTTGGGTTCTGTCAGCCACTTGCTCCCTAACTGCACCGTCCGAGAGACGACTTCACTTCTCCTGTTGAAACTGCACTGTCTCCGCCCACGTGATTCTTTCTAAAACCTGGACACTGTGATTCAAGACTCCATGCAGAGCAGGCTGCAGGTGGGGACCGGATCTGATCCAGATCCAGCAAGAGGTCAGCACGACTTTGATCCCAAGTCCTGAACTGCCAGGCTTTTAAAAGGTTCTTCACAACTCTGCGAAACCGGGCCAACGTCACTTCACTTCACGAAAGCCTGGGCTGAGGTCCAAAGACATCGCTACGTCACGATGCGATCGGGATAATGAAGAACCCAGATGCACACTCACCTTATTTGAAGATAGGAACGTGGGCTCACCTGCGGGCCCGTTAGCATAACATGGCTGTCTGTGTGATGTCAAAGTCGCCATGAGCAGACCCAACAGTGCTGGGTGGCGCCTTCTGACCTCTGCGGGCATCACCTGCCACGGGGGCTTTCCCGAGCCCCCAGCCCCAGCTCGCCCCGCACAGCCTACTCCTCCGTGTGAACCCACAGCACCCGTGATACTGTTTCTCAAAGGCACCCGGGCTGCTCTACCGCTTTGTTCTTAGTAGTCCAACTCCTCTCCAGCATCCCTGCGCGTAGGGGCACACGCGGAGTGCGTCTGCTTCTATCGTGGAAGCTACTTCTAGGCTCTGTAAGGACTGGGAGCTTGCTGCCTTTTCTCCCCGGAGCGGCCTCTGCTGGAGAAGCCGCCCAGCAGCTGCGACTCGAGTATCAGTTAGTGGGGGGCAAGATGCCAGGAAGGAGGCCGGGCCGAGGGGACCGATTCTGATGGGCAACAGAGAAACGCTGGGCAGCCACCAGACTGCTCTCCCACGAGCCGGCTGCAGGTGACAGAAAGAGGTCCTTGCGGCGCTGGAAGTCCCTCCTGGGGGCGGAGGGCAGAGGGCACCGGCTGAGCATGGTTAGAGCCCAGCGCAGGCAGCGGAAGCCAGGCCTTCCCTTGACTTCTGGAACTACGAAGCGAGCAAGAGCCAACAAGCACCTCCACCAGGAAGTACAAGAAATAATGACACGAGAGCCATTAAAGTCACCATTTAATTTTAAAGGTTTTTTTTTTTTTTCCCTCCCATCTTAAAGATAACTTCTAATACACAGTAAGAAAGTTCCGACAAAGTAATTTCTGGTGCACAAAGAGACTGACTAAATGGTTTCTTTCCAATAAATAACACGGCCAACATTTTCGTTAACATGACTGCAACCAGGAAACAAGGCAATCTCCAAGCACAACACATAATCTATCCATCACCCAGAAGAACCTCAGGAAAAGTGACGCCGCAGCCAGTCTCCTACAGCTGGCCACCTGGGAGCCTCCCTCGGAAAAGGTTTGCTGACATGCCCGCTGGGAAGAACAGCTCTGGGCCACGGCCTACCGAGAGGGGGAAAGTCAAGTGCTCACGACGGCATGTCCGAGAAGGTTGTGTGGCAGCTAAGAATGCACCTGCATTGCTCCCAAATCCAAGGCCACGGTAGGCCTCCTCATTATATGCACTTCACTTAAACACGCAGAGGAACCCACAAAAGCAGGGAGTGGGGTGGGTATCCAGAGAGAACTCCGTGGAGGGAGGGAAGCATGGGGCAAGAACTTACGGGCAGGCAGTGTGCATGGCCCCACTTTACAGCTGCTCAGGGGGTGGCCCACGTCCGTGTCCTCTCTTCTCGATCTTAAGCCACCTAGATTGGTCATGAGGGCGCAGAAGAGAAGACGCAGAACCCTGTCTCGGACAAAGGTGTTATTCAGCAAGTCTCCCGAGGCTCTGGGGCCTGAGGCCAAGGCCTCCCCGGAGGGAAGAGCCTCTGTTTACCTTTGTGACTGCATAGATGAGACAGCCAGCACTGACCCCATTCACTCGGGCGGGCTGGAGAGAGGCAGGCCAGGTCCCGAGGCCCAGGGTAACATGGGCGCCCTCTTTTACACTCTGCCAGCAGCACAAAGCCCCGTTGTTAGCACAGTCCTCTGCGACAGCCCTGGCCTCCGACTACCACTTGCTACCTCTACACACATCTGCTCGCTCGTAACGAGCGGCTGATGGCGGCAGTGCCCCGACGGGACTATGGCAACACAATGCTTCGGAACTGTCCCCTGTGGAACCCGGACCTCCTCAACCCATTGCTGGGGCTTCCTCGGCTGCCCCTCACTCCCTTCCTGACAGACTCAGGAAAGACGGGGGCCGGTGCCACACAAGATGGGACCCACAGTTATAACCACAGATACTGCAGGGAACGGAGCTGCCTACCCACGGGGGCTCTGGGGTCTCCCTCCCGCCGGGGACTTTTCTGCCTCTGTAGAGAAAGCTGAAAAATGCTCTGAAAGAAACTCGGGTTCTGTCGTTACTGTAGCAACCAGAGTAACACTGGGGGTTCTAGAAGGGTACTGCACAAGGCTTCATGGGTTCGGAGATTCCTTCTCTACAGCTTGGGGAGAAGCTGATGATGCAAAGCAAAACTAGAATGAAGTCAGTCTCGGGGAGGTCTTCCTAAACCCCGTGTTAGCGGGCTTAGCCACCCTGGGCTGGCTGGCTGGCTGGTCGGTCACCCCGACGGGTCAGGATGCACACAGTTCTCAAGAATTTGAATTTTGTATTGACTGATGTGGTATGCTAAAATTCTAGAGATCAGCTACAATATTTACAGAGCGAGGGAGGGCGGAGGGAACAGATTTCGGCCTCTCCGCTCTGAGGGGCTGCAGAGACCCGTGAGCGATGGCCAAGCCCTATCCCCTGCAGGCACGCCTTCCATCTTTCTGAGAGGTCCTGAACCACTCAGAAGGGGCTGGCGCAGGCATCCCACATGGCACTGTCCCGGCTGCTTCACTTCCCATCCAGCTCTCTGCTGTGGCCCGGGAAAGCAGTGGAAGACGGCCCCAGTGCTGGGGCCCCTACACCCGTGTGGGAGACCTGGAAGAAACTCCTGGCTTCGAATTGGTCCAGCTCCAGCCATTGCGGCCGTCTGGGGAGTGAACCAGCGGATGGAAGACCTCTCTCTGCCTCTGCCCCTCTGTAACTCTGCCTTTCAAATAAAAATAAATGAATCTTTAAAAGAAAATAAACCACTCAGAAGAGGATCTAAGGGACAATGCCAAGGCCAGTTTCAAGAAATCAGCCACCGCTTCCCAAGGACATTAAATTCTACTCCTCCACTGACAAACAGCCCCGGGCTTTTCACTTCCCATTTGGAACAGCGTCAGGAAGTCATCCCTAAGTTAGCTGTCGGTGAGGAAAGCCAACCTTTGCTAGTACTCCACTGAGTTGCAGCTGTTCAGGGAAGAACAGAGACAGGCAGTGCAGGTATGGTAAAGGGCACGGAACACAGACTCCCTGCGCCTGGGCAAGGAGCCGCCCCAAGCCCCCAGAGTATATGATGCAGCTTTCACCTTGTGGTCCATATCTCGTCACAGCAGGCCAGCAATCAGCAGTGTCTGTACCATAACCAAGCTGCCACCCTGAAGTTCTAAGGGGAGCGAGGGGGGTTTTTGTTTTAGCATCCTATGCGTGGGCACGCCTTGGCTTCCTGTTTTGCCTCTGCTATAAAACATTCAGAACACAGACACTAACGCAGGGGGTCTTGAACTTGGTACTCCAAGGGTCACGCTGTCTCCTGTTTGGAGTCACAGGTGCAGACACCTATGTAGGGACTATACGTCGGCTGAGAGCCTCACTTTATTTACTTATTTATTTTTAAAGATTTATTTATTTATTTACTTGAAAGTCAAAGTTACACAGAGAGAGGAGAGAGGAGGTTCACTCCCTGAATGGCTGCCACAGCCAGGCCAGTCAGGAGCTGCTTCCTGGTCTCCCACAAGGGTGCCGAGCACTTCGGCCATCTTCCTCTGCTTTCCCAGGTGCATCAGCAGGGAGCTGGAGTGGAAGCGGAACAGCTGGGACTCGAACCAGCGCCCATATGGGATGCTGGCACTGCAGGCAGAAGCTTATCCTGCTGAGCCACAGCACTAGCCCCAAGGGAGCCTCACTTTAAAAGGCCACCTGTATCATGCTGAAATGCACTCCCACCCGTTCTAAAGAAGTATCGTTCCCTTAGAACTCAACAGAATTTTCAGGGGCCATTGTTGTGGCACAGCTGGTAAAGCTGCTGCTTGGGCCACCAGCATCCCATGTTACAGGCACCGGTTCGTGTCCCAGCTGCTCTGCTTCCCATCCAGCTCCCTGCTAATGCCTGGGAAAGCAGTGGAAGTCGGCCCAGGTGCTTCAGCCCTTGCTACCCACAGGCGACACCCGCAAGAAGCTCCTGGCTCCGGCTTGGCCCAGACCTGGTCGTTGTGGCCATCTGAGGAATGAACCAGCAGATGAAAGATCTCTCTCTCTCTCTGTCTTTCCCTCTCTGGAACTCTTTCAAATATATAAATCTTTAAAAAACAAACAAACAAACAAAAACAACAACAACAACAAAAAAAAAAACAGCCGGCGCCGCGGCTCACTAGGCTAATCCTCTGCCTTGTAGCGCCGGCACACCGGGTTCTAGTCCCGGTTGGGGCGCCGGATTCTGTCCCAGTTGCCCTTCTTCCAGCCCAGCTCTCTGCTGTGGCCAGGGAGTGCAGTGGAGGATGGCCCAGGTGCTTGGGCCCTGCACCCCATGGGAGACCAGGAAAAGCACCTGGCTCCTGGCTCCTGCCATCGGATCAGCGTGGTGCGCCGGCCGCAACTCGCTGGCCGCGGCGGCCATTGGAGGGTGAACCAACGGCAAAGGAAGACCTTTCTCTCTGTCTCTCTCTCTCACTGTCCACTCTGCCTGTCCAAAAAAAAAAAAAAAAAAAAATTAAAAAAAAAAACACACCTCAACAAAATTTTCAAACTAGCTTCCATCAAGAGCTGATGCTCCATTATCTTAAATCGTGGCTTCTCACCTGTCTCCTGTGGCCGACCCCTCAACAGCGCAGTACCTGGGGAACACACCCTCCAGGAAGCTGGCTTTATCACAGGACACTTGAGAAGATACGAAGACTTTCCCAAGTACTCATCCTGGTAAGCTAAATAGACCCGGCTTTGCTACTAAGGATTTGCAATAACTACTTCACCACAGCCTGCAGATGGAGGCCCTGCAGGGTGGTTCCCGCCCTGTGCGCTGTGTGGGTAACCCTGGCTTCCATGACAAGAACGGGGTGTGGGACTCTCATCTCCACCACGCGCCATCGGGAAAGATTCCCCAAGGCACCTTTCACCCCCTGGGGCTGCAGGAGCGAGCAGGAGGAGGAAACACAGCGGCTGCTTTCCTCTGAGCACGACAGGAAGGCCAGCAAGGACAGCTGCTGGGGACTTTCTCCTTTCACAGCGCTGACTCACAACCAGCGGAGGAACCTGCGTCTCTTCCCAGCTTCTTACTAACAGGGCAGTCCACGCAGGCGCACCCCAGCCCTTCAAAATGTTGTGATCTCTTGCATAAGCAAACTCGGTGCTATCAGCAAAAGGTGTAAGAAAACTCAGAAAGCTGGGCTGTCTTCACTCTTCTTATGAAAACTTACAAAGCAATGATGTCTCCTTATTGTTTCCTTGAAGCTCCCAGCATGCGTCACGACCGTCTGTGATCCCTGCTTCGACGCTGGAGTCTCACCTTCCAAGGGCGCACTACGCGGTTCCAGACACGTGCATCTTCCACGCTCTGCTGCCGCGTGCACAGTGCGGGCATTCGCCGCAGAGCTGACAATGGCAATTATGACACAGGACCTGTGACCAGCAGAAACCAAAAACGGGGGCCCAGGTGTCCCCCAAATTTCCTTCACTAGTTGGCTGTCACGTGGAAAACAAGGGAAGATCATTCCCTTTATTTGAGTACTTGGTTTCATATTCCAGAATATGCTATGGAGGTTGACATACGGTTCAACCTAATGAGTGTTGGAGACGGAGAAACCCCCAGTGCTTGGTAGACAGGAAATCCTCTCTCGTCCGATGCCCTGTAGCAAGACTCTGAGATCCCAGGGGGATCACTCCGTGCATCAGCGTCCACCGGCCCCCGTGATTTCGGAATGACAGACACGAGACAGAAGCGACCGCCCAGGCAAGCAGAGTGGGCACACGTATTCCTTGCTGTTGACGGCTCTGTGGAGGGCGCTGTGAGAAACTTAGAAATGGAACCCGCCTTGCACATGGCCAGGTCACCTGGGGCCGAAAATGAAGGCCAAAGAATCTGGCAATATTTCAAGTTCTTTTCAAAATCGTCTCCAAGGCTCTAAGGAAATTTTATAAATCAATCATGTCCATGGTTAGATCGACAAATTTTAAGTAACTCTAGGAAAATCCTTCCTGGTTTTAAATGTTTCCTTCCTAGAACACAGTAAAAGGAACTGGGAGTCCAGAAAAAGTGGGTTCTCATGGAAATCACCCCCCTCGGCCCGAGAGCGCTGGGCCGGCTACTCCCTTACAGGTTCCGGTACAACGAGTCTCCCACCTGCGCGAAGCAGCTTCCGGCTGAAATCTACGAGGACTTTCTCCCACGGCACCCGGCAGGACCGGGTAAAAATGACAAGGAAGAAACATTCTCGTATCTGAAAAGTTGTTAGTCTTAGATGAACGCTATGAGCTTCTAAGAAGGAAGAGTAAAGGCGATGGCTAGTGTGAGTGAGAAACCCAGGACGGAGGTTTCCAAGGCCCTTTTATTAGGGGAAGCCCCCTTTATACACAAGACTCCACATATGTTCCGACAACAACGAGATTTGTTTCTAAAACTCAGGGCAAAACAAAATAGATGCACTTTTGTCTATGTACATATATACTGAACATAAGTTAAAAGGAATTACAAAATGGTCACCTTCCGTACAGAATAAGTGCCGACTGGATCTGGATGCACCTCCAGGTGCGGCTGAGTGGCCGCTGTTGCCTTTTCCAACAATAAATAAATTAAGCTTGTTCTGGGTGTTGACTCCCCTGCGCCACAGCTGGCCTCGGAGTCACTGCTGGGCTTTCCTCCCCAGCTCGCTCCTGTGCGCTGTGTCCGGGTGCGCCGGCGTCGCTGACTTCACTGGCCCAGCCGAGTGCACGCCATCTTTCCGGGGTGGCATTCGCTCGTTAATTCGGTCCAGACCTCGGGCTTCTTCAAAACTCCGGATCTTGTGCGGAAGCGAAAACCCTCGGATGGCTGCAGAAACACAGGAAAGGTGGGTTGTGCTGTTAGGCAGGGCAGCCCCAGCTCGACGAGTTCTTACCAGCATGCAGCAAGGCCCTGGAGGAACACAGAGGTGGCCAGGGAGCACTCCTCCCGGGAGGTCCTGGAGGAACACAGAGGTGGCCAGGGAGCACTCCTCCCGGGAGGTCCTGGAGGAACACAGAGGTGGCCAGGGAGCACTCCTCCCGGGAGGTCCTGGAGGAACACAGAGGCGGCCAGGGAGCACCCCTCCCGGGAGGTCCTGGAGGAACACAGAGGCGGCCAGGGAGCACCCCTCCCGGGAGGTCCTGGAGAAACACAGAGGGGCGGCCAGGGAGCACTCCTCCCGAGGGGTCCTGGAGGAACACAGAGGCGGCCAGGGAGCACTCCTCCCGGGAGGTCCTGGAGGAACACAGAGGGGCGGCCAGGGAGCACTCCTCCCGAGGGGTCCTGGAGGAACACAGAGGGGCGGCCAGGGAGCACTCCTCCCGAGGGGTCCTGGAGGAACACAGAGGGGCGGCCAGGGAGCACTCCTCCCGGGAGGAGTGCGCCAAGCAGCCTTCTCCGAAGCTACTGCTTCCTTTAGGCCCGAGAGGCAGCGGAGTAGACCTGACCAAGAGCCAACCAGCTCTCGGCCCCACCACATTTGAGAAGGATTCTCTTACAGGCCAGAAATGTGCTGGACAGGAGAAAAAGGGCGCACCAGAATAACAGAACTAGTGAGACAGACCACATCACGCTGACCACGAGACAAAACACAAACAGGAGGGCTGCTCTTCTGGTTTAGGCCAGCTTTTTATCTCGCACAACCAGGTGCGGGATGTTACGTTCAAAGCCGTCAAAATAACGTCTAGTATTTTCCTCCTGATTCAAGCTGTCTAACCAAGCAAAGACATTCCCAGTCTGAGCAATCCTACCTAATGTACTTATAATGTAAGTTTATTCATTCCAATGGTGTTCATCCACAAATTCATAGATAACATTCCTAAAATGTTTCCATAGAAACAAAGATAATTTGCCTTGACTGCCTTGGGGCAACTTCAGAAATGAACCAAACTAAGCTCCAGTGTACTCTCGCCTCTGCTCTGGAGCTCCCTTAGGGTCATTAAGAGGCTCATGGAACCCAATGGATGTCTCTGCCACACGGCAGGGACGTAGGACTTAACCTCCGGACACCCTCATGCCGGCTGCTTAAGCTTCAGCCATTGCATGAGCACTGACAGAGGCCTGTAAGGACGTCTGGCAAAGGTGACCGCGAGGGACACGGACAGGACACAGCGCACACTTGCTTTGTGAACACGCCTCTTCTCACTGTTACAGTTCCAGTGATGTGAAAATAAACGACTGGAAATGTCCATGAAACTTTTCAAAACTAGCAGACAGACACAGAATGACATCCATCAGAGGAATGCGGCCATACCTTCCCGGGCCTCTACGGCTTCTACTGTGGCTGTGAGAGGGCAGGAGTGGTGGCATGCAAAAATGAAGACAGAAAAAGAGTGAGTAACCCAGAGCACAGACACCCCGGCCCCGCCTCTGCGCCTACCCTCACCACCGAGAAAGGCACGCGGCTGGAGAAAGGACAGGAGGACCGCAGGGACCTAACTGGAGACCGGGCAGCTGAGGCGGGGAGAGCTTCTGCACTCACACCTCAGGGGCGTGGGACCTGCTCGATTCATTTCAAACACTCAGCTGGCAGTTTCTGTCCTGACGTTCACTGTCGCAGTCATTTGTCCTGTCCAGTAAGGTAACATCACAAGCACTCTTTAGTTTGTCGTAACTCAGGTAACACTGCATGAGCCGCTGCTGTGTCCTACTGGAAAACCTTATGAACAATCACTACCTGTTGCTCTCAAGGGATTTGAGGGGGGTCCAATGGACCTTTGGAATTACTTAATTTTTTAAAAATGGCCTTTGAATACTAGACTGGGATTTGGAGAGAGAAGACACGGGTTCCAAGTGAGGGATCATTTCTTGCCTGGGGGTGGAGCACTAAGCAAGCAAAGGCACAGAACCACTCAGCTCCCCACGAGAACTCACAAACGCATCTGGGATTCGAGATGCGGCCGCGCCTGACATTTCCGGCCCACACGGCTTCCACCCAGTGGGCGGGAGCAGGCCCCTCTCCTCCAGTCATGGAAAAGGAAGCAAATTAGTACCGTGAGATCAACCTTGCGCCTTTTTTTTTTTTTTTCCAGACAGGAAAACCCCTAATATACGCAAAGGTTGGAGGGTGTAGCGGGAAAGATCCTATTAGGAGAACCCTGTCAGCTCCCCCGGGCTGCTGTTATAAAGGCAGCAGGGAAGAACAAGGGACAGCAACAGTTTACTGCCTCTGAGGCTTTACATGTCCCTGCACGAGGAGAGAGGGTGAAAGACGCACAGCGGGTGCCGGCTTCTCGCGTGGACTCTGGCCCACCAGCCGCAGGCGCTGTCAGGGCAGGGCCGCACCTTCCCTAGTCTCCTGCAGTGGAACACACAGCAAGGGAAGCAGCAGTGCCTTCCCACAGCACACCAGCCAGGCCGCTGCTGGGAGCGAGAGAGCGGCGCTGGGCCCGGAGCTGCACAGCTGGGCCACGGGCCCCAGCAGCGTCCACCAGCCGCGTGGTACAGGGGGCACGGGCGGTGCTCCGAGGACTGCTCTCTGCATTAAATATTAAGAGAGCAGCCATCTGCTATCACGGAGGGCCGCGATAAGAAACAGTCACACAAAACTAAGCTGTTTCATTCCTCCTGAAGATCTTTACAGAAGTGTAATTCATGAACTACCCAATACACTTACACAAGTTAATGGTTTCATATATTTAGAGGTGTGCAGCCATCACCACTGTCTTTGGAATGTTTCATCACCCAGAAAGAAACCCCCAGCTCGTCAGTACTAACGGCCCACTGTCCATCCTTACCTCATCCTCTCGCTCAACTAATCTACTCTCCTGTTCTGTATGCTACAGACCTGGAATGACACAAGGGCTCCCCCCTGATGACAGGTTCTACTTTCACAACGTCCCGTGCAGAAGCCCGGGTGTATGGTGTGCCATCGTATGGACCCTGGTTTGTCAAACCAGTTGGCGGGAACTTGGGCTGCGTCAGCTCCTTTGCCATTGTGGAGAACTCCAAACACTACTGCATGGGTTTGTTTTCATTTCTCTGGGCAGGTGGCGACAACCAGGGCTGGAATTTCATTTCTGGTCGTTTGGGAAACTGCCAGAACACTTTCCAAGGCAGCTGCCCTGCTCCACGTCCCCATCAGCAGTTCTGAGTCCCAGTGTCTCTGCATTCCCGCCAACACTTCTGCTTAGCTGTCTTTTTTACTGCAGCCACCTTGGTGGGTGGACAGTGGTCTCTCACTGCAGTTTTGATCTGTACTTCCTGAATGTCTAATGATGCAGAACATCTTTGCGTGTGCCATTTCTATGGCTTCTTCGGGAAAAACTCAATTCAATGCTTGTACCACCTTGCAGTGGGATGTCTCTTTACTTCAGTTGTAAGCGTTCTTTGTATTTTCGAGATACGAGGCCCTTATGAGAAATGAAATTCCCAAATATCTTCCCCCACTCTATGGGTTGTCTTTTTACTTTCTTGACAGTCCCACTGACAGCACACAAGGGTTTTTCATTTTGATGCAGTCCATTTTATAACGACGGATCTGTTTGTTTGGTTTTTTTTTTTTTTAATCTCTGTTAGTTTTCCTCTCTATTTGGCTACTAGGAAGCTGGGAGTCCATGTGCGGCTGACTGCTACTTTGGTTTTGACTGCCTTTGTCCTCCCATTTCCAAGCATGTTCTCCTCATGTCACTGTGTTGTAGACAGAACTCACTCAAACCCTCGGAGCAAGTTGGGCCACATGAGTGTGTGTTAAAAGGCCATCTGGGAGCTGGCGGATGAAAGTGCTCCCAAGTGACACCAACAACGCAAGGTCTTTTGCAGCCGATGCTTCCGTTTGCCCATGAACCTGCGGAACTCAGACTCTGACATGAAAGGACAGAGGAAACTCAGCACCTGCCCATCAACGGGAGTGCAGGACGCTCTGAAGAGCTGGCTCCAACTTTAGTTTTGTTCTCACCATTCCTGAACATTTCCATCAGATTTGCAAATATCAATGAGCAATCTGTACTCACTAAAGCATTCATAATCAAACCAGGGCTGAAGAGAAACTGGATACAACTGGACTCAGCCCAAAACGTGGCCAAGAATTGTAAACTAACAACGTGGACATAAAATACTCTCAATTACTTGATCCAGATTTCCTCTAGAAAAAAGTAGTTTCAATTAAAAACAAAAACTTGTGGGATGGCAAATTCTCAAAACTTTTCAAATAAGTATTCCATAGAACATCCCATTTTTTCTTTACTTTTGTAACTTCCAATTACTCTTAAAATATCCTGTTCAGGGATCGGCATTGTGGTGTAGCCGGTAAAGCTGCCACCTGCGGTGCCAGCATCCCATATGGATGCCGGTTCGAGTCCCGGCTGCTCCACTTCCAATCCAGCTCTCTGCTACGGCCTGGGAAAGCAGTGGAAGATGGACCAATTCCTTGGGCCCCTGCACCCACATGGGAACTATGGAGGAAGCTCCTGGCTCCTGGCTTCGGATCAGCCCAGCTCTGGCCGTTGTGGCCATTTGGGGAATGAACCAGCGGATGGAAGACCTCTCTTTCTCTCTCTGCCTCCTTTTCTATGTAACTCTTTCAACTAAATAAATCTTTAAAAAAAATCCTGTTCAGAGCTGCTCTCTAATATCTCAACATGAGTAATTACCAAAGCAATGGTGGAACAGAATTTTGCCTACAAAATAATTGTATATTTGTTTGAGAGGAAAAAAACCTTTAATCTGAAATAGTTTACCAATCTTTTTGAAATTAAAGGGAATTAAAGGGATTAAGAAAACAAATCATGTACTTCCAAGAAGAAAATGTCTTTTTTTTTTTTTTTTTTTTTTTTTTGACAGGAAGAGTTAGACAGTGAGAAAAACAGAGAGAAAGGTCTTCCTTCCATTGGTTCATCCCCCAAATGGCCGCTACAGCTGGCGCTGCGCTGATCCGAAGCCTGGAACCAGGTGCTTCCTCCTGGTCTCCCATGCAGGTGCAGGGCCCAAGCACCTGGGCCATCCTCCACTGCACTGCTGGGCCACAGCAGAGAGCTGGACAGGAAGAGGAGCAACCAGGACAGAATCCGGCGCCCCGACCGGGACTAGAACCCGGGGTGCCGGCGCCACAGGCAGAGGATTAGCCTAGTGAGCTGCGGCACCGGCTGGTCTTCTTTCTAAACAGCTAAATCAATTTCAATATCCGATTTGAAAGAGGAGGAGGCATTCAGTTCTACAGTGGGTTTGTCCCTAGAGCAAATAGCAGTAAAATTTCCACAGAAAGAAAAAAGTAGAAAGAGTCCAGTAAAAGCCAGAGGACAAAAACAGTTAACTTTTAAGGTACTAAAACTTCAACTCTGGTTTTCTTGCCAATGATGCGATTCCTGCCTCTTCCCCTGGTTGACAAGATCCATGTTTATTCTGAAAAACACCAGCATCTTCATTCCAAGACTCCACAGCGCTGCCTCCTCGGGTCTCTAGAACCGACACTCACTGAACCGTGCCGTGGCCCTGGGGTGGACGGCTGCACGCAGAGGCAAATGCCCTCTCAGACACACGAACTCCCAGAATGCTCCTCGTTAGGGTAGGAGGTAAACACGTGAGGAGTACCATGTGCATACGGTGGAATGTGCAGCTCAGCACGCTTTTACATAGACACCCACGCAGAGCGACTGCCCAGAGCGGTAGAGCGTGCCCACCACTCCAATGTCCCTGTGCCTGAGCTAATGTCCACCATCGGCGGAGGCGCCATTCTGACTTCGACCGGCACGGACGGGCTGTTCTTAAACATCAAGGATCACCACGGTCGGCTCTTGCTGTGTGTGTCTGGTTTCTTTCGTTTACCATCTGTGAGATTCAAGTATGCTGTTACATGAGTCCAAGACAACTTGCTTTATACTTTCTGAGCAATATTCTGCTGTATTAATGACTCGATGTATTTATTCTACTACTGACAGACACGTGGGCCAGTCTGGTGTAATTATGAGAAAGCCGTGGTGCAGATCCTCACGTGGACTGGACACTGCTTTCTCTCGGATGCACCCAGAAGTGGAGCTGCTGGGTTACAGGGCAGACAGCTTTTAGTCCAGCAGCTTGACAAAGTGGTTGAACCAAGTTACTACGATGCATCTAGTTTCAGTTCCCCACCAGCATACTGACACTTTTTTTTGCCATTTTTTTTTTTAGCCATTCTACTGTCCTAAAATTCTAGTGTGTTTGAAGTGGTATTGCACCATGGTTTTAATATCCATTTCCAAAAAGAATGACTGTAACTACATCAGGTACTTTTTCATATGCTTACTGGCCCTTCTGGTATCCTCCTTGGTGCCGTATCTAATATGACCCTTTGACCTTTTTACTTGCTTTCATCTTACTGCTTTGTAGTTCTTTTATATATTCAGGACACAAGGTCTTTATCAGGCATGTGCACGGTAAAAATCTTCTCCCAGTTTGTGGCTTGCCTTCTTTTTCTTTTAATCATGTGTTTTATGAGAAGACACCCTTAATTTTAGTGGATTTGATTTATTAAGTTTTTAAGGTTAGGACTTTTTTCTACTTAAGGACTCCCTGCCTCCCCCAACGCCTACTCGCCAGGTTTTCTTCTAGGAGTTTTATTGTTTCACTTCTTACACTTAAGTTACAGTCTATTTTGAACTGATTTTGTGTCTAGGAGGAAGGGTCAAGATTAATCATCCCCCCCCCTCCCCCAGGTGGATACCCGACGACTCTGGCACCACTCATCGGGAGAAGCCCCAGTTTACAGAGGCACGCTGACTGCTGCGTGCGGACGCACGCTTCCGAGAAAGAAACGGCCTCATACTCACCCGTCTCGATAGTCTGCTTCCCTCCAGACAGGACGCCCAGGGGGAGGGTGCCTGTGGGGGTCAGGCCCTTGAGAGCCAGCACACTCTCACTCTCTTCCCTGCAAAGGAAGACCAAAGCCCTGGGTTAACGCCAGGGACACGGCTCAGCAGCACAGAGACCTCCAGAACGCACAGCAAGGGAAAGCAGCAGAGATGAGGGCAGCTCTCCCACCTCCACTCCTTCCCCTGACTCAAGAAAGGCATGTGTTCTGTAAGTATTTCCATTTTACACGACCAGACAGCTCTTGCTTTCCAATTAGAGGCCCCTGCGAAGCAGGCATTGTTCTCATGTTCCCATATATTATCCCAACGAGTCCACCTAGCAAGCTTATGAGGTAGGTCCTGTTAGGTCAGTTTTCAGACAAAGAAGCCAAGGCCTGGAGATTAGCTCACGTGGCTAAGAAGAGGCAGAGCCAGAATCTGAGTACAGGCAATCTGACTTCAAAATCTGAGCCAGCACACCCACTGCATCGGAGGCTGGCCCGGGGCGGTCTGCCAGGACATCTCCAGTCACTTCACTCTGCGAATCGGGTGCTCTGCGCGCAACCTGAAGACCTGCAGGCAGCTCTACTACCAAATTCCAGTTCTTAAAAAGCTGTTCTGAAATGGACTTCCAACGTACGCTCAAAACCCCTTTATAGCACACTGAATGACAGACAGCCTTACCGCAGGATTGAAAAGACCCGCGCCATCTTTCCAATGGCTCTGATCTTATTCTTGATGATTTCTTTCCGAACTGAAGTGCCTCCTTGGAGAATACAGAGAACAGGGTGAGTCAAAGGAACGTATTCACAAGCTGGTTTTTAAAAATGCAGGATGAAGCGTTTTTCTGATTTTAAAAACTATTATTTTTTTTTTTCAAAAAAAGAAATCAAAGCCTAAGTTTGCCTAAACAAACAAAAATTGCAGAAAGTCTGGAGTAAGAGGAAAAAAATAATCCAGAACAAAAGATGAAGTCAAAAAATGGAAGGGCCACAGAAAGTGAGACTGTAGGTTTACGTGGATCTGAGATAACAACACAGCCGAGAGTGAAACACACACACACCGACAGACCTCACAAGGACAGTCGCTACAGCAAGGATCTCTTTTGAGAATGCCGTGGCCACCTGAGGGTGAGGCTCTGGCCCGCCCCTCGGCAAGCGGTCATTCAAGCAGCTGTCTGGTGCGTGCCAACAGCGCCGCCAGCTTGCTCTCCTGAACTTGGTGAGGGCCACTTTCATCCTACACTCTTCACGGACACGGCGAGTTATTTCCTCAGAGTGCTACTCTCAACCGAGCAGCACAGGACAGGGACGGGCAAGCTGCCTTAAGAAGCATCACTGAAAAAGTGCAAAATTTTACGGCTTTTTCTCAACCAAGACTTAGGCAACAGCCCACACGTGAGAAGCTAAGGGCCAGGCATGCACCAGGTGACGGCATTCCAAAGTCAGAGGAAGCATGGCCGCTCCTTCCTCACCTCCAGCTCTCGACATCCTGCCGGATCAAGCAGCAGGTGCAAAGGAGACTTAGCCACCGACGCTGAAAGGGAGGCTGGAGAGCCATGGGAAATCACCCAGCTACCAACCGTAAAACGTCTCGCTGAGAGGTTGCGGCAGAACAGACAGCCAGATCAAACAAGCTCTGAGCACAGATTTTTGTCGGATACCTTTCTGAGAACTTGAAATGTAGTGATCTCCAGGGGGAACAGACACCAAGAAACAAGCAGATGAAGACAGAAATGTGAAAGGAGAACTTTAGGTTTACATGGAAGAGAGAAAAAAACCAAAGTGAAACGCAATGAGGCTGCACTGGCTCCTGACCACAGCCTTGGGGTCCCCACGGAAGGCTGCATACAGAGGGCACTGCCAGTAGCTGCTTCCACGGTTCAGAGGTTTCTGGATACAGTTTAACATCAGTTTGCAACCATTATTGCCCAACATTTCCCATCCTGGTACAAACCACAGAAATAAATTAGACAAAGGAAAAGGGACCCTCTGTGTGGCAAGGCAAGGAAGGAAACCAACAGACGCCCGGGGCTGCCTCTGTGTCATGGGCTCAGTCTAGCTCTCCCTTTGCAAGTTGGAAGTGGCCCCTGGAATTCCACCTTCTTCCAAGCTGGGGCTTCCTGGGGCTTCGCAGCAACCTCCCCCCTATGTGTCTGGTGGTCCTCAGCGCTGCCTCCTGACCTCAGAGCTCGTGGCTGGAGACGCCCGACTCTGGACTTCACCCCGAGTGGCTGGTTGGGAACCTGCGTATGCAACTTACAGGCACTTAATTCACCTGTCTATTTTCAAAGCAGCAACTGGGGGACTTTTAAGCGCCTCAGAAGGTGGTGTCTGTCCCTGACTGCTGTCTCCCAGCGCTGCCCTTCCCCCACCAGCAGCTCCCAATCCTAGCACCTGGTGCTGCTGATTCCTCTGCTTTTCGAGGAACTAAGCATTCCCTACTGCTAAGCCAGGCTTCGGTTTTCCTGGATCCGTTACATCAATAAGAACAATGCATTTGCTTTGCACTTCTAAAAAATTCTTACAAAACTGCCTCCATGATTGTAGGTGAGAACAAGACCTCTCACTGTGACTAAAAACACACAGGCAAGTGCACAGAGCTACAGCCACCACTCAGGTCAACCAGCACACAGCGCCAGGACACGGAGGCCTGTCCCGGCAGTCCACGCCTATCACCTAGCTTCTCTCCTTTCCAGAGAAAATCGCCCCGTGGCTTTCTCTGGAATCACCCTTGACGCTCGCCACTGCTTTGCCGCCAGCGGTACGGTTCTCATCGGTTCTGAATTTCATGTTCTTTTTTAGTGTCGCTCTCTGTAACTCAGCATTCTGTTCGTGAGATTCAGCCTTGGTTTCCAGCTGCTGAAGTTCATTCTCATCATCCTTATTGCGCGACCTGTCTACCAACAACATGTCCTTTTTCCTGGCTGTGGTCATTTGGGTTGGTTGATTCCTCGGCTATTCTGGATCAGGCTGCTGTGAACATCCCAGTACACTTCTCGTTGCTGCACAGACACACCCGGGTCTGTTGAGTACACCCTTGGGGCTGGACTGCTCAGCTACGGGTGTGTACTCCCGTGTGTTAGGCTCTGGGTCACAGTTTGACATTATCCGCAGTGGACACGCCAATTTCCATGGCTTTGTGAGAGACTTCCTGTTGCTGCCCAGCCGGCAGCACTGGCATTCCTCATCTCTAATTTTAGCCAACCTAGTGCGTGAGTGGTGACATGCCACTGTGGTTTTCATTTGCATTTCTGTGCGGACTAACGCGGCTGAATGTATGTTCACCGGCAGTGTGGGTATCATCTTTGGGTGAGGTGTCTGTTCAGATCTCACTGCCCTGAGTTCTCCCTCCCCTGCAAGTGGACTTTTTGTTGCAATATCCTCTCCCATTCCATAGTTCACCGCACAGTTTGTCTTTTCACATGCTTACTCGAGTCTTCTGATGGACTCAACTCCTGATGTTAATGCTGTCAAGTTTTAGTCATAGTTTCATATAAGGTTAGTACTTTTTGGGTCCTCAGAGATTTTCTTTTGCTCCAGGGTCATGAAGATGTCCTACATTCTAAACACTACAAGTCTTACTGTTTTGCTTTCATATTTCAATCACTAAATTCACCTGCAGGTTTTTTTTTTTTAATATTTGCAATTTGATAGCATACAATTTAACTTTTTCTAAAACAGATATCCTCAAACTATGTACTAGAAGCGTTCGGGTGGGTATTTGGCACAGCAGTTAAGCTGTTGCACGGACGCATGCGTTCCACAGTACGGTGCCCGGTTCAAGTCCCGGCTGCTCCACTTCCCAGCCAGCTTCCTGAAAAAGTGCACTCTGGGAAGCAGCAGACGCTGGCTCAGTTCTTGGGCCCCTGCCACGCAGTAGGAGATGCAGACGGAGTTCTGAGGTACTGGTGTCAAGCTGGTCGGTATGGACATGTGGGGAGTGAACCAGCAGATGGAAGACCTCTGTCTATCTCTCTATATCTTTCAAACAAAATAAAAGTAAATGACAATAAATAAAATATTTATTTATTAAAAATTCCTATGATTTTCCTCTGTTCTGTGATGCCACCTCTGGTATAAACAAGTGTCCCAGATGTGCAGATCTGCTTCAGGGGAGTGTGCTTGCACCAATAATTCCAATTACTCCGGCTTTATAGAAAATCCAGACATCTACAGAGAAAGTCTTCTCACCTTAAGACTTGAGCTATTCCTGGGGCCAGCGCTGTGGAGTAGTGGGTAAAGCCACTGCCTGCAGTGTTGGCAACCCACATGGGCACCGGTTTAAGTCATGGCTGCTCCACTTCTGATCCAGGTCTTTCTGCTAATGTGCCTGGGAAAGCAGGAGAAGGCCCAAGCCTATAGGCCCCTGCACCCACATGGGAGACCTGGAAGAAGCTTCTGGCTCCTGGATTCAGATTGGCCCAGCTCAGGTCATTGCCGCTATTTGGGGAGTGAACCAGAGGACAGAAGACCTCTCTCTCTCTTTGCCTTTGACTCTCTGTAACTCTGCCTTTCAAATAAATAGATAAAAATATTAAAAAAAAGACAAGCTGCTACTACATAAGTTTTTGAGTCAGTCCTTAGCATCTGCATATAAACTTTCAGATCAGACTTTCCTGCTAAGATCTGACTAACTTTGCACTGAATTCATATATCAATTTAGGAAACATTTACATCTTTACAGTATTGAGCTTTCCAATAATGCATGAAAATTTCTTCCCATTTATTTTGATCTGCTTTAATTTCTAGTTTAATTGGTAGTTTGTTGCTATTATTAAACATCATCTGTTAGATTCATTATTAGAGATAATACTGTAATGGAAACCATTTTAAACTTTCATTTTGCTTGTTGCCAGTAAACAGAGATCCAAATGACTTCTGCACACTGACTTTGTATCCAGTAGGTCGACTAATGTATGTGTTGCCCTAATAATCTGTGGGCTCCCATAAGATTTCTCCACAGGTGATCACATATATCGCTGAGATCTGTTTCTTTCTTTTCAGCCGTTAACCCTTGTTTTCTGTTGTGGTTTGCTTTTGCTTCAGTGTATTATTGGCTAGGATGTCTAACGTGCAGCAACTTTTAAAAAAACATTTTATTTATTTGAAAGAGTTACAGAGACAGGTAGGCAGAGAGAAAGAGAGAGAGAGAGAGAGAGAGAGAGAGAGAGAGTCTTCCATCTACTGGTTCATTCCCCAAATGGTCACAAGGGCAGGAGCTGAGCCGATCTGAAGCCAGGAGCCAGGAGCCAGGAGCCAGGAGCTTCTTCCGAGTCTCCCACTTGGGAGAAGGGGCCCAAGGACTTGGCTCATCCTCCGCTGCTTTCCCAGGCACATTAACAGGGAGCTGGATGGGAAGTGGAGTAGCTAGGACTTGATCTAGCACCCATATGAGATGCCAGCGCTGCAGGCCAGGGCTTTAACCCACTGTGCCACAGCGCCGGCCCCAACGTGCAGCAGTATTAACAGTAGGCTTCCTTGTCTGGTTGCCAATCATGAAGGAGAGCTTTCAGCATTTCACCATAAGATATTTGCTCTAGGTTTATGAAGACACATTTGTCAAATTAAGGAAATCCCTTTCTAAGGTTAGGTTAGTGTAAGGACTCTACTGTACACGAAAGACAACACTTATCTGACGCTGTTTCTGCGTCACGGCACCGCCCAGCATGAGGGCCTCTCATCTACACTGCAGCCGGTGCTGCAGGTGCCCCCTGCATGCAAGGTCTCGCCAGACCCGCGGCAGCTCGCTGCTCAGCCTGCGCTTTCACACTACAGGGCAGCCTCTCTCCTTGACCCGCAGGGACCCACGCCTGCTGGGCACCAGCTTCGCTTCTGCAGTCTCCTTACCTCTTTCAGCATTCACAGTGACGAGTTAGGGCCTTGCCCAGAGCGAGGCTTTGGCCGCTCTGATCTTCGACCCCGATTACTAGAGCTTTCTTCGGATCAGCAATGAGGCTGGCTGGCTTGCTTTATCATCTGTGTGTTCACTGCAGTAACACTTGGTTTTCTTCAAGAACTTTTCCTAGGGCCAACGTCGTGGTGCACCAGGCTAAGCTGTGCTTGCAGTGCCAGCATCCCACACCAGAGTACCAGTTCCAGTCCTGGTGTGGCTTCTGATCCTGTTCCCTGCCAATGCAGCTGCGAAAGCAGCAGCAGGTGCCCACCCATGTGGGAGACCAGGTGGAGCTCCAGGCTCCTGGCTTTAGCCCCGGCCATTGTGGTCATTGGGGGAGTGAACCAACAGGTGGAAAAGCTCTTTCTCTGTCACTCTGCCTTTCAAATAAATAAAACTAATTTTTTTTTAATTTGCATCCACGGCTGGGCTGTTTGGCACAAAAGGCTGTGCTTTCAAAGCTTACGGGGGTTTTCAACCTGCCTTTTCCATTAAGCTTAACCACTTCTAGCCTTTGATTTAAACCAAGAGAACTATGATGCATTCAGCTTGAACTCTTAGAGGCCACTGTGGGGGTTAACTGGTTGGCCTACTTTCAATATTGTTGTATCTCATGGAATATAGGAAGGCCAGAGGAGAGACAGAGAGATAGAGACAGAGAAGAGACATGGTGTGTGTGTGTGTGTGTGTGTGTGTGTGTGTGTGTGTGTGAGGGTGGTCAGTGAAGCAATCAGAAGAGACACAAAACTCATCAGTTAAGTTCATTGTCTCATACGGGCATGGTCCATGGCACCTCAAATCAATTATAATAATAACATCAAAGATCACTGATCACAAAGCATCATAGCAAACAGACTCATAATGAAAAGGTTGAAACATCTGAGAATTATAAAAAAGAGACATGAAGTAAGTTCAAGGTTTTGGGAAAATAGTGCAACAGACTTGTCCCACTCAGGGTTGCCAGAGGCTTCCAATGTGCAAACAATGCAGGATCTGCAAATGGAGTGCCCACGTAACGGGGGCGCTTCCTCCCGGGCCACACGCAGTGCCATGAGGCACAACACAAGGTGTGCCCACGTAACGGGGGCGCTTCCTCCCGGGCCACACGCAGTGCCATGAGGCACAACACAAGGTGTGCCCACGTAACGGGGGCGCTTCCTCCCGGGCCACACGCAGTACTATGAGGCACAACACAAGGCGTGCCCACGTAACAGGGGCGCTTCCTCCCAGGCCACACGCAGTACCGTGAGGCACAACACGACAAGGTGTGCCCACGTAACGGGGGCGCTTCCTCCCAGGCCACACGCAGTACCGTGAGGCACAACACGACAAGGCGTGCCCACGTAACGGGGGAGCTTCCTCCCGGGCCACACGCAGTACCGTGAGGCACAACACGACAAGGCGTGCCCACGTAACGGGGGCGCTTCCTCCGGGGCCACCCTGGAGAGGACAGCACGAGTCTATCACATGGGAAAGTGCAATGTCAACGGGCACCTTCCCTGGCTTCCCAGGTAAGGGAGTTTCTACTCTATTTAGCTCACCACTGCCATGTACTTTAGCTCTTTTAAATCCAAAATCATTATGCTACTGTTGAATAAAGTCTACACGCATCTGCCCACAGATTTTGTGCTCCATGAACTCTTCATGTCCTCCTGGACCTTCCAGCTTCCCTGGCTATTTCCCTCTGCTTGAACAGCATCCGTCAGAATTCCATTTGGTATGTGATTCCTGGTAATTTTTTTTAAACAGACTTATTTTATTTATAATTTGAAGGCAGAGTGACAGAGGGAGGGAGGGAAGGAGGGAGGGAGGGAGGGGTCACCCATCTGCTGGTTCACCTGGGCCAGCCTGCGGGCAGGAGCTCCACCTGGATCTCCCACAGGGATGCAGGGGCCCAAGCACTGGCCATCTTCTGCCACTTTCCCAGGGGCATCAGGAGAGATCTGGACTGGAAGTGGAGCAGCCAGGACGCTAACCGGTACTCATGAGGGATCCATTGTTAGAGGCGGCGGCTTAAGCCTCTGTGACACAACACTGGCCCACGCTGCTGGTAACTGTCTCAGGGAAAGCTTGAGGCGTGGGAGAGGGTGTCTGAAAACACTTCTCTCACTCACCCTTCAAAGGCACTTCTGCGGTGTGAAATTCCAAGTGTCCAGGTACGGTCTCTCTGCACTGATGGGTTACCCTGTTGCTTCCTGCTTCCGTGAAGAATCAGCTGCTGGCTTACCCGTTCTCTGTGACAAGGCATCGCTTTTGGTGGCTGTGTGAACTTCTCCGACGATGCGGTTAGATGCTGCTTTCTTCTGTTTCTGCTACTTTGCAGTTACAGAGCTTCTCCAATTTGTGATTAATTTCTTAGCAGTTTCAGAAAATCTTCATTCATTTTGCTTTCAAATATTGCTTTTTCTTCTTCTCTTGCTCCAAACACACACATGCTATGCCCACCCACTGTACTCCTCTGTGCTTTAAAGTTTCTTTCCCTTTTCTTTCTTCATGCTTCATACTGGATTATTTCTTCAGACATATTTTCCAGTTCACTTATTCTATGTTCAGCTTTACTGGATCTACTGTGAATCAGTTGCATTCTTTTAAAGATTTTATTTATCTCAGGGAGAGTTATAGACAGAGAAAGGGAGAGACAGAGAGAGAGGTCTTCTATCTGCTGATTCACTCCCCAAACGGCTGCAACGACCAGAGCTGCACCAATACAAAGCTGGGAGCCAGGAGCTTCTTCCAGGTCTCCCACGTGGGTGCAGGAAGGAGCCCAAGGACTTTGGTCATCCTCCACTGCTTTCCCAGGCCACAGCAGAGAGCTGGATCACAAGAGGAGCAGTCGGGACTCGAACTGGAGTCTATGCCGGTGCTGGGAGTAGAGGTTTAGCCTACTATGCTACAGTGCCGGCCCCCATCTGTTTCATTATAAATTGATTACTTTTCAGTCCTAGAATTTTCTTTTGGTGTTTTATCAACTCTGCTATCTGCCCCTTTTTATTTTTTAAATCTATCTACCTACCTACCTACCTACCTACCTGAAAGGCAGAGAGAGAAACAAAAATCTTCCACCCATTGGTTCACTCCCCAAATGTCTGCATCAGCCAGGGCTAGGCTAGCCCAAAGACAGGAGCCAGGAACTCCACCTGGATCTTATGTTTAGGTGTCAAGGACCCAACCACTTCAGCCACCTCCTGCTGCCTCCAGGATCAAGTCAGCAGAAAGCTGGGTTAGAAGTGGAGTAGGGGGCTTCCAGCTGGGCACTCTGATTTGGGATGCAGGTACCCAAGCAGCAGCTTAACCTGCTGTACCCCAATACCCACTCCCATCCTCCTTCGCCATTCACAGTTCTCTGCCAAAATTTCACTATTTCAATACAGTCTTCTATGTTCCTGAACAGAGTCAGCATAGTTTTGCTTCTCAACATAAAGTGTGATCTGATAAAGCCGATGTCCCGGTGGCTTTGCGTCTGCTGGCTGTTGTTGCTATTGTTTCCGTTGCTGTATCTACTCACATGCCTGGTTATCTTTGTTACAGACTGTGTGTAGACTTCACTGAAAGTCCTGCATGCTGCCACCTTATGTCTAGAGAGGTTTGCTTCGTCAGGTGCTTTTTCAAATTTCAGGGATTGAAGGAAGGTAGGCCCTCTCCCCTTCCAGGGCGGCCCTGTTTCCAGTTCTCCTTTACTCCAGCACAGACGCAGCCTTCGAGGGTTCCAAAGGGACGGGCAGAGGCTTGCTAACACTCACGTGGCCCGCAGCAAGCCCTGAACGGCAGCCTTCTCAGCCTCCTCACACAAAGCTCTCACCCTTTTAGCCCCTCTTCTGAAATTCACTAAATGTTCTCAGGAGCAAAGTCAATGAAACACAGTATTTTGTGTAGGTTTTCTAGTTGTCTTAACAGGGCTGATCTAAACAACTTAGTTTGCCATTGCAAAAGTGGAACTCCTTCGTTTATATCACTTCTCAAAAAGCTCAATTTTTTTGTGGTTTTAGTATGATTTCAGGGCAGACGGAATTAAAGTGTGTTGAATTCACCTCCTTAACATAAAGATATTTTTAAATTTCCTTTCGTAAAAAATTTATATTATATGTATAATAGAGGCATATAGTTCAATACAAAAATGGATACAAAATCTGAATTGACAAGTTCTCAAAAAGAAAGAAACGTGGCCAATAAACACAAGGAAAAAATGCCCACCAGCCATCATAAAAACACAAACAAAAACGAAAACACCAAACCCCAGCTCTACAAACACTAGTGGGGCAGTCACAGTGAAATCTGACCCCACCAAAATGCTACCAGGTGCGGCCTGCCCAGAGGCTGTTTGTGTGATTGAGCTTGTAAGTATTTGGCAGAGATCCTCGGTTTCAGACATTTATACCATGGCAATACTCAGTGATTTCACAGTGGCTGTGCGTCAGTCTCACTGTATACACCCCTACCCGCTGACATCAGTTCTCATTTGTTTCCCCACACTAGAATGTAAGCGTATGGGGCTGGTGCTGTGCACAGAAGGTCACACAGCTGCCTGCGACCTTCGTATCCCAGATGGGTGCTGGTCCTAACCGCTCTACTTCCGATCCAGCTCCCTGCCAACGAGCCTGGGAAGACAGCAGAAGATGGCCTACATGCTTGGGACCCCGACACCCACATAGGAGACGCAGACAAAGTTCCAGACTCGCAGCTTCGGCCTGGCCCAGCCCCAGACTTTGTGGCCATTTGGAGAATGAACCAGCAAATGGAAGATCTCTCTCTTTCTCTGTAATTCTGCCTTTCAAATACAGAAATCAATCTTTTTTTTTTTTTTAAATAATTATAAGCTCTTAATAGAACAAGAACTAAATGGTACTTGGTACATATCAGGCATGTAATAAATACTGGTTGTTGACAGCATGTGCGAAGATTTATCTATGTGGATTTTCAAAATGGCAGGGGTTTTAAAAGCACTACATTAGAAAACATCAACCATCCAGGCCTGGCATTGAGGTGCAGTGGGACAAGCAGCTGCTTGAGACCCAGGTGTTCCACATCAGAGTGCAGGTTGGAGTCCTGGCTGCTCCGCTTCCGATCCAGCTCCCAACTAACGGGCCTGAGAAGGAAGCAAAGGACGGCCCAAGTGTCTGGGCCCCTGGCACCCATGTGGGAAACTCAGATGGAGCTCCTGGCTCCTGGCTTTGGTCTGCCCCAGACCTGGCTGTTGCAGCCATCTGGGAGTGAACCAGCTATGGAAGAACTCTGCCTCTTTGTCACTCCGCCTTCCAAATGAATAATAAAAGAAATTCTTAAAAAAAATCCAATATCCACCAGTACAGTATATGATATTGGCGATCAACATGGACAACTTTGTAACCATCAGAACCTAGTGTGCAAATGCAAAAAAAGTACATGTTCTTGATACCATTACATGAGTTCATTTCTGTTGAAAAGGAAAAGGAAAAATACATGCAAAGAAAAAAGAAAGCCAACACAACAGACATCAAGATGTTAACAATGGATATCTATAAGATGGTGGGATTATGGGTGACTTTTTTATTTATGATTTCCTATATTTTTCAAATTTTATTTTTTTACAGTGAACATAATCTGTTTTAGTAAGACAAAGAAAATTATTCCTAACAAACTAAAATCCAACCCAAAAGTTCTTTAGTTCAAATAAGGAAACGTTTACCTTCTGCTTCCTCATCTGAAATCAGTTCATCATCAGAGCATATGTTCAGGATGTTAACCAGCATCTCTGTGACTACAAGATAAGACAAAATCAGCCACAAGTTACATGGTTAGTGAGACACTGTCTCTAACATAACGTGAGCATCTAGTAAACACACACATTCCATAGTCAGAAAAAGCAGCTTTAGAGAGAAGCACCGGTGCCAGTCTGGTCTAGCAGTTAAGACGCCACTTGGTTCGCCCGCATCCATCGTGAGTGCCGGGCTCCAGTCCTGCTCCCTTAGGGAGTCCACTTCCTGCGGATGTGCACCCTGGGGGGCAGCAGTGATGGCTCAAGCAGTTAGGGCCCTGCCACCACGTGGGGGGCCTGGGTGTAGTTCCTGGCTTCCAGCTTTAGCCACTGTAGGCATGGGGAGCTCTGTCTCTCAAATTAATAATAATAACAACAACAACAAATAGCGTCAAATGTAAACCTCAGGTTCGGTAAGAATTTAGGTAGCTTACTTGTTCCAATAAAAGTCTGGAGTCTTTGAAATCTCCATGGCATAATTACTTGATTTTATGTGATGGCTATTCAAAGCCTTTTCCTCGCTGATATACACATACAAAAATTTCTTCCTATTTTACAAAAAAGTTACACCAGCAAGCCGACGGCCAACAGGCTTATATTATATTTGCAAAGCTTATCAGTGTAGCTGAATAAATAAAATTCTTACTAAGGACAATAAATCCTGTTTAAATATCAGTAGGGCTGAAGAAATCACTGAGAGAATGATATAGTGTCTGTTACCTGTTATTTTAATGTTTTGATCATAGTAGGGCAGCTACTTTAAATTGATACTCAGAATAAGAAAACCGTAATAGAACTCAAATCTAAGAATCAATGAAGTGCCAATTAAACATTTCTGTAGAGAATAAGCAAAACCTTGCCGGTAACGTTAAGAACGCCATCTCTGAACCATCAAGGGGGTGCATGCACACCAGCACCCCGTTGCAGGTGGGCCCAGGCACCCCTGAAGACCAGTGGTCCAGGACAGGCTGTGGTCCTCTTACCTTTCTCCCCAACAAAAGGCAAAGACCACGTGAAAACATCCATGAAGTTCGGAAGCCAGTAGGGGTGGGGAGAACAGTTGAACTGTCTGATGTTCATGACATTGTTTTCATATTTCAACACAGCAGCTAAAAAGGAAAAGGTGAGAAAAGTGACCCGGAGGAACACGGCAGGGCTCTGAGAGGCTCTGCGGAGCTGTGCACACTACACGGAATTCAGGAACTCACTTCCCATCAGTAAACTCAGGACGAGTGAACGGAAGGCAGATGGGAAATTTTAAAGCACTTTATATAGTTCATTCTCCCGTGAACAGTTCCCCGAAGAGTTCACCCAATCAGAGTATAAAAGAATACAGCTCTAAAATTTCCAGGGGTCACTGCGCAGTAACTATCGATAGAAGCCCCAGGTTCCCCAATGTCTCCCTGAGGCCAAGTGGTCACAGTAACAAGTCTCCTTCAAGGGCAAATATCACCCATGGAATGGACAGAGCCTGCTTAGCTGGTGATTAGCCAGAGTAGAGCCGAAGGCTTTACAGCCTCCCCGGAAGGTTATAAACAGCAGCCATCAATTCACACTGGGGGGAGAATTTACAACTCAGGTTCAGAAGATTAAATCATTTCTGCATGTAACACATGCGAGATTTTTAACTGCCTGTTTTTCCTATTCAGTCAGTGTGTTACCAGCATGCTGGAAGTGTTTAATATTGACGAGTCCATCTAGTCGCACATATGCTTTGATGCCAAGCTGATTTTCCTTATACTGTAAAATTCTGAAATCCAATTCCTTGTTCTTCATTAGCAGCACTGCAGTGAGCAGTGGTCTCATTCTTACTGTGGTCACGAGAGCAGGCGCGACAGTTTCCTGGAAATGACAACACAGGTCATCTCCTGGTTTTCTGTCTGGTTTCTCTGCTACAGGATAGCCTAGAGGTCTCCAGACTTCAGTTACTGCATGTCTGAAATGTGTATCATAGAGTATAAGGAAAACAAGAGCTCCAGTTCTGAAGAACCCAACGCCGGATACAATGTACAAGTCCCCTTATCTTCATGAATATGCATTTGTTTATGTTAAGGGACTAAATCATTATTCATCAATTCCTTCAATCTACATAGGAAAAGTGGGAGGTGGGGCTCAGTAGCAGATGACTAGACACAAAGCCTAACAAACTGCCTTTGGGGAGTGGGACTTCGGCTCAGGGGTTAGAACACTGCTTGGGATGCCTGCCTTCCTATCAGAGTGGCGGCTCCAGTTCCAGTTCCAGCTGCCTACTGATGCGCACCCTGAGAAACAGCAGCTCAAGTCTCTGTGTGCAAGCCACCAATGTGAGAGACCTAGACGGAGTGCTGGGCCCAGGAGATGGCTTCCTCTCTATCTCCCCCACCACTGTGTGTGTGTGTGTGTGTGTGTGTGTGTGTGTGCTGGGCCCAGGCCCCAGCTGTTACCAGGAGATGGCTTCCTCTCTATCTCCCCCACCACTGTGTGTGTGTGTGTGTGTGTGTGTGTGTGTGCTGGGCCCAGGCCCCAGCTGTTACCAGAAGATCTCTTCCTCTCTATCTCCCCCACCACTGTGTGTGTGTGTGTGTGTGTGTGTGTGTGTGCGCTGGGCCCAGGCCCCAGCTGTTACCTATTTGGGGAGTGAACCAACAGATGGAAGATCTCTTTCTATCTCCCCCACCACTGTGTGTGTGTGTGTAAATTTCGTAAAATTCTTTTAGGATATGTTCCCAGTGTAGAGAAAAAAATAGGAATAAAAATCTTTTTAAAAATGATGAATGGGAGGGGTGGAGACAGTGCTGTGGCATAGCGGTGAAATTGCCACCTGCAGTGCTGACATCCCATATGGACACTGGGTAGAGCCCTGGCTGCTCCACTTCCCATCCAGCTCTCTGCTATGGCCTGGAAAAGCAGTAGAAGGCGGCCCAAGTCCTAGGGTCCCTGTACCCAAATAGGAGACCCAGAAGAAGCTCCTGGGTCCTGGCTTTGGGTTGGTTCAGCTCTGGCCATCGCATCCACTGGGGAGTGAACCAACAGATAGAAGATCTTTCTCTTTCTCTCTCTCTCTGCCTTTCACATAAATAAATAAATAAATCTTTTAAAAAATGATGAATCGGGGGGCTGGTGGTGTGGCATAGGTAAAGCCACCAGAATCCCATATGGGCACCGGTTCATATCCCAGCTGCTCCACTTTCAATTAAGCTCTCTGCTAATGGCCTGGGAAGAGCAGTGCAAGATGGTCCAACTGTTTGGTCCCCTGCTACCCACACAGGAGACTTGGACACACTCCTGGCTCCTGGTTTCAGCCTGGTCCAGAGCTGGCTGTTGTGGCCATCTGGGGAGTGAACCAGATGATGGAAGGTAGATCTTTCTTTCTCTTTCTCTCCTCCTCTGCTTCTACCTCTCTCTCTGTAACTCTGACTTTCAAAATAAAAGTAAATCAATCATAAACAATAATGATGAATTAAGGGGTTGCTGTTGTAGCTCAGTGGGTTAAGCCATGACCTGTGATCCAGCATCTCAACTGGTTCGAGCCCTGGCTGCTCTACTTTCAATCCAGCTCCCGGTTAACATGCCTGGGAAAGCGATGGAAGATGACCGATGGGCTTGGGCCCCTGCTGCCTACTTAAGAGACCCAGACACATCTCCTGGCTTTAGCCTGGCCCAGCTGCGGCCATTGTGGGCATCTAGGGAGCGAACCAGTGGATGGGAGATCTCTCTCTCTCTCTAACTCTGCCTTTCAATAAATCCTTAAGAAAAATTATGAATTGGGGTTGGCACTGTGGCATAGCCAGTAAAGCCACTGCTTACAATGCTAGAATCCCATATGGGCACCAGTTTGTGACCTGGCTGCTCCACTTCCAATCCAGATCCCTGCTGCTGGCCTGGGAAAAGCAGTATAGGATGCTCCAAGTGCTTGGGCCCATGCTACCTATGTGAAGACCTGGGGGAGTCTCCTGGCTCCTGGCTTCAGCCTGGCCCAGTCCTGCCATTGCAGCCATTTGGGAATGAACCAGTGATGGAAGATCTCTCTGTCTCTCTCCTCTCTCTGTAACTCTAACTTTCAAATAATAAATGTTTAAAAATTATGAATTAAGGGTCTTTCATGTAACCAGTGGAACTAGTGTAGGTACCAATACACTGAAAGAATATGAAAAAATAAAAAGTGACAGAAGAAATAGAAGGAAGAGGGTAAGAGTTGCTTTTTGTTCCAAAACAAAGAGATACTTGTTGGGGGAATATTGAGTACTACCAGATGCCACATTTTCAGTCCGTTTACTAAAAAATGAGTAAGCAACAATCAAGGAAAATAAGATGATTTTGAGACAAAGTTACTGTGTCAAGGCTGATAGAACATGCAGGTAGGACGCTCTGTAACTGAAGGAAGGATCAAGAACAAACTCGGAATGATGGCGGGGAATGAGCCGGGCGGGCTTCAGCTGGCCGCTGCCAAACCCAGTCGGGCAATCGATTCAAATGCTTAGTAATGAAGATTTGAAAGGAAGGAGACGAAGGTCTTCATCCCAAGTAGGAAGACATTTAACAACCCAAGCGGTGCATTCCACTGGGAGGGAGGGGAGCGAAGGGGACTGACCTGCTCGCATACTGGGAGCAGCAGGGAGAAGAAGGTAACAAGCAGGGCCCTCCAGGGAAACGGAGGCTCAGAGAAGAAAGGCAAGAGTGAAGAGCAAGCACAAGGCTGGGAGAAAACTCTGGTCACGGAAATGCGTTCTAGAAACGGACAAGTCAGGAGGCGGCACTGCAGCACAGCAGGTCAATCCCGCACTGGAGTGCTGGCTCCAGTCCCGGCTGCTCCGCTTCCTACTCAGCTCCCTGCTAATGCGCCTGGGAAGGCAGCAGCAGACGGTCCAAGTACCTGGCCCCTGCCACCCTCGTGGGAGACCAGGATGGAGTTCTCCGCTCCTGGCTTCACCTGGCCCAGACCTGGCTGCTGCGGCCCTCTGGGGAGTAAATCAATGGATGGAAGATCTCCCTCTGTCTCTCTCCCTCTCTCTCTGCTGCTCTGGGTTTCAACGCAATAAAGAAGCAGATCTTTAGAAAAGGACAAGTCACCCAAGGACACAAAGAAACAACTGATCCAAGTTAAACTTAGATGAGATACGCCATTCCATGGTTTTATTTTTAAATAGAGTAAATGTTAAGTACATCATGGATGTTCAAACTTCTTTCTCCAACTGCATATTCAAGGTATGACTATAAAGTAATGAGACTTAAGAAGCCCAGTGACAAACACACCAGACCTTATATATCAGACGAGTATGGTCCTTTGATGTTATCACATCAGGTACGACAAAATAAAGTGTTACAGTATTATAGTAATTTATATTTCCAACAATGCGTCCATATTCATTTTCATGATTCCAAGTTATCTTCACCAATCCTATACAGCAGGTATTTTAAAGACAAGCTCAGGCTCAGAGAAGTTAAGTGGCTGGTTAAATGTGACACACTTAAAAGAGAAGTGTACGACTAGACTAGGAATCTGACGCGCAGCTTGGAGCTTTTTTCAACACAACTCACGCCCTCACTACCTGACCGTACGATCCAAAGAGGCTGCCAATACAACGTTTTTGGAACTCCTCCGTTGGAACTGCCTACAGAGCCAGTGCACGTACAGCACAGAAAAGCTAGTCTCATTACCTTATAATCATACCTTGTTTCTGACCCCACATGGTAGCAGCTAGCTTCATCACTCACCTTATTGATCAGTCTTGACTCCGAATGACTTTTGGCTGTCCAAAAATCAAATCCACCCTCAAAGGACGAAGATTTCCCATCACTGAGGATAATCAAAAGAATATGTCGCAGACTCCGAAGGCAATGCCAAAAGAGGAGTTCCAAAAGTGTTTCTGGGCAATGACAGCACTGCTGGGACGCGTGCGGACCCTCCCACAGTAACTACTCTGAAGGGACGATACTCATTGCGATATATTCATTCTGGCATGTTTGCACGAAATCCGATTATTTTATAGTCACACTTTATAAACAACAACTTAGCCACAGAGACGTTACGTTTCTTAACAGAATTGCTGCTGTTAGAAAACTTCATGAACTATGAATTATAAAAGTTCTAAATTCTATAGAAGACTAACAGGATAAAGTCTTCGAAGTGAAATTTCTGGGACAAAAATACATGTGCATATCTAACCCTCTTCTGAACAATTATGTGGCTTACCCGAAGTCACTCAGTTTGTTTCTGGCAGGGACTGGACTACAGTGTGGATCCTTTTCACACTTTCTCTACACTATTCACGCTATCTGTACTGCATCTTAAGATCAAAAGAGCTTAATCATTCACAAGCATTCAAACAAGTGGCGACATTTTGAGGCACTGTTACAATTTCATCGAAAGCAATAACTTCAGCCATCTTGACATGAACCTAAAATAATTCACTCTTACACGTCGATCTAGTAGCACAAATAAGACCAACTGACCGTCATCCACCCCCCCCTAAAGTCCAACCATCTCTAGGAGATGAAGGCCAAGAATAGCATAAATTCTAAACTTCTTGGCCTTTGCTTCAATTCAGGCCATTTTTTTTTCTTATTTAAAATTTTTATCTAGGGACTGGCATTGTGGCGCTGCAGGTTAAGCTGCTGCCTGTGACGCCATCATCCCACACACGCACTAGTTTGAGTTTCTGCTGCTGCGCTTCTGATTCAGCTCCCTGCTAATGAGCCTGGGAGAGCAGCAGAGGGCGGCTCAGCGCCTGGACCCTGCCGTGCATGTGGGAGACCCAGACGGAGTTTCAGACTCCTGGCTTTGCCTTGGCCCAGCCTTGGCTGTTGTGGCCATTTCAGGAATGAACCAGTGAATGGAAGATATTTCTTTTTGTCTCTCCCCCTCTCTAACTCTGCCTTTCATGCAAATAAATACATCTTCTAAAAATATTTAACAATTCTATACACAGATACACATAGGTGATTAAGCTAGGGCTGACAGTTACTCACAAATTCAAACTCAAATATCGCTGGACTCCTTACCTTTATTGTTATAGACATCTAGGTAATTAGGGGCCGAGAAGATTGTAATGAGCGACGGGAAGCCTGTTGCCTGGCTCTTCCTATACATTCGATATCTGCAAGAGAGATGACAGCCCGTCTGTCTTGACAGGAAAACCAAAAGCTCTGCGGTGGTATTTGGTGCAGCTTTAACATAACTTACCCAGCGTCCTGGGCTTCGTGCGCTCTGATTATTGATAATAAATTGTTGTTTTGTAAAAATTCACAAACTGCAGGGTAACTAAAAAGGAAAATTAAAAAATCATAAATCCAGAATTAGGACAATTTTAAACACAGGAACAAAGGGGAAAGTTAGGATGCTATGAGCTGATTTTGTTCCTAGATTCTAAGTATCACACACCACTGAACTTCTAGTAGCAGGGTAGTGGCCATCAGTGCTTCCTCATTTCGGTAACAGACTTCATTACAGACCAAACGTGAAGAGAACTAACTCCTAAAATCTCCTATTAGTACTACTACTTTTCTGAATGCCCACTACTTGTTAAAAAGAACTGCAGAACACAAAACTAACCTGAAATTATCAAGCGCTAATTATTTAGTTTACTTATAAAATCTCTGTTTCTCATTATGTTCACTAGAAAACCATTTACTTTTAAAAGAGGATTATGTGTGACGTAAGCAAGCCGGCAGACAGAGGCCCTCAGCCCTCAGCACCCCCAGCCGCACCCACTGGAACAAGACTCAGCAGCCACCCACGGGCATCAGTGCCATCGTGGGAGCCTTGGGACAAGGCCGCCGCTCGTGACCCCGAGGTGGAGCCCCGCAGCGCGGACTGAGGAGGGTCTTTGAGAAGGCACGCCCACTGACTCCGCTGCAGCCCGGAGACCGCCTCTCCATTCCTGCGAGTGCGCAGTCCTGCTGCCTGCCCCGGCGCTCAGGGACTGGGGAGGAACCCCGCCCGTGGCACGCAGGGAAACCTGGTCACCAACCCGATGCCACTACAGATCCAAACCAGCACTGAGAGCTGGCGTCAGCCTTCCTGCACTGCGGTCCACGGCCAGACTTGTCTTCACAAAGATGGGGCGGGAGACACATTTGTCCGTGCATCTGGTGACAGGACTGCCGACTAGACCCACAGGACTGCCGACTAGACCCACATGTAGACCTGAACCACCGGTCCTGCCCACAGGAGACATACAAAGACCATACCTCCCATGCCTCTGGCAGCAGGCCCACCGACCACACACACTCTTGCAGCCCAGTCACTTGGCTCTAGCCCTGCTCAACCATAATCCCAGAAGCAATCCCATGAGCCCAGGGGCCCAGCAAAGGCGATATTTACCTGACAAGTCCAGTCTGTAAGGACCAAAAATGTATCTTCAATTGCACAGAGCCCTATGCAAGATCACACGGACCATGAAGAATCAGGTAAACATGACACTACCAAAGGAAACCAATGAAGTTCCAGTGACTGACCGAAAGAATGGAGACTCAAGAGTCACATGACAGGGGCTGGCGCTGTGGCACAGCTGGTTAAAGCCCTGGCCGGAAGCGCCAGCTTCCCACACGGGCGCCGGTTCTAGTCCTGGCTGCTCCACTTCCAATCCAGCTCTCTGCTGTGGCCTGGGAAAGCAGTAGAAGATGGACCAAGTTCTTAGGTCTCGGCACCCGCGTGGGAGACCTGGCAGAAGCTCCTGGCTCCTGGCTTTGGATAGGCACAGCTCCAGCTGTTGCAGCCATCTGGGGGAGTGAACCAGCGGATGGAAGACCTCTCTGTCTCTGACTCTCCTTCTCTCTCTGACTTTCAAATAAATAAATAAATCTTAAAAAAAGAATTACATGACAAATAATTCAAAATAATACCTTAGAAAAGCCCAGTGAGCTACAAGAGAATGCAGATAATAAATGAAAGCAGGAAGATAATACATAGACACACTGAGCTGTTTGGTAAGGAAGCGCAAGCCATGAAAAGAACGAAACGGAAATCCTGGGCTGAAGCTCCTGATTTTGGATCGGCAAAGCTCCGGCCGTTGCAGCCATTTGTGGCATGAACCAGAGGATGGAAGACCTTTCTCTCTGTCCCTCTCACTGTCTGTAACTCTACCTCTCAAATAAATAAATAAAATCTTAAAAAAAAGAATGAACAAGAGTGTAGAGTATATGGGATGCCATCACTCAAAATAATAGATGCATTATGGAGTTCAATAATGAGCAAAGGGCGAGAGAGTAGAAAGTTTACTTAAAAGAATAATGGCTGAGAGCTTTTCAAATCCAGGGAGAGAAACGGACATCAATTCATGAAACCCTGAGTCTCCAAATTCAGTTAAACCTACAGAGGTACCCACCAAGATGCATTATAATTAAGTTGTCAAAAGTAAAAAAAACAAGAATTTTGAAAGCAATAGAGAACAGTTAACTTGTCACATATAATGGAGTTTCCATAAGATTACTGGTGCGTTTCTCAGTTGAAATCTTGAAGGCCGATAGAAAAGTGAATGAAATATTCAAAGTATTTAAAAGAAAAAAACCCTGCCAAACAGAAATGCTTTACCTGGCAAAACTGTCCTTTAAGAATGAAAGAGAGGAGATCTTTGCCAAACAAACCAAAACCGAGTGTCACCACGAGACCTGCATTTTATGAGCTGCTAAAGGGAGTTACTGAAATTAAAACAGATACTAAACAGCCACACTACACAAAATCATACAGAAGCATAAACACCATTGCTAACGGTAAATGTCAAGGCAAAGCAGAACATTGGCAATACTGCAATGTCAATACAATAATGTATGTAAAGGCACATAGATAATTTTAAACCTATATAACTTATTTATTTATAAAAACAGTGAGAGCAACTATACTCACAGAAATCTGTTTATAGCAATAAGTAAAAATCTGACCCAAATGACACTGAATATGTGTGTATGGGGGGAAGCAGTAGAGTGTAGAGTTTCTTTGTGTTGCTGAAGTTAGGTCTTTCTCAGCCTAAGATAGACTGCTAGAACTATAAAAAGTTTGATGTGAACCCAATGGTTAAAAAAAAGTCCAGTAGATACGCAAAAGATATGGAGAAAAGAACCAAAATATACCTCTATAAAACTCATCAAAACACAAAGACAAGAAAGAGAGAGGAAGGGGAGAACAGCGATTCCTTACTTAGAAAGAATTACTTTAGCTTCCCAGTCACAAGACGTAAGAGTGACTGAATGGATTAAAAACAAAAACAACCCAAGACTCAGCTGTCTGCTGTCTGTAAGAGACTCCTTTTAGCTTAAAAGGACACAATGGCTGGAAGGAAGGGGCAGACATAGATATTCCATGGAAACAGCAACCAAAGACAGCAGGTGTGGCTATACTTCTACCAAACAAAAGAGGCTTTAAGCTAGAAATTGTCATGAGACAATTTTAGCCATTATATAGTAACAGCTCAACAGGAAGATACAATTATAAATCTATACATACCCAATATTAAAGCACTTAAATATATAAAGCAAACGTTGACAGTTATAAAGGAGAAATACTCACAGAGAGCAATACGACCATAAGAGCCTTCAATACCCCTTTCTTTATCATAGGTAAATCACACAGACAGAAGTCAGTAAGCAGTGGGCACAACCGAGTAACACTACAGACCAGCTGGACCTAACAGACACAACTGGAATACTACTCTTCGCAAGTACCTGTGGCACAGTCTCCGGTGCAGATCATAGGTTTGGTTACAAAACAAGTCGTAACAAAGTTAAAAAGCCATAAATCATTCCAGGTATCTTTTCCTATGGTAATGGAATAAAACTAGAAACCAGTAACCGTAAGAAAACAGCAAGATTCACAAGTGATGCAGAAGCTGTACAACATACTCCTGGACAACCCTTGAGTCAAAGAGAAGATCAAAAGGGAATTTTAAAAATAACTCAAGGGGAATGAAGATGAAAACACAACATAACAAAATTTATGAGATGTAGCAAAAGCTCTATTAAGAGGGAAGTTTATAGTAACAAACATTTATGTTCAAAAAGAAGAAATATCTCAAACAACCTCACTTTTGCTAGTCAAAAATAATTTTTAAATCCCTAACTAGAAAAATAAGAACAAATTAAGCTCAAAGTTAGCAAAAGGAAGTAAATGACAAAGATTAGAGCATAAACAAATCAAATAGAGATCAGTAATATAAAGAACCAGTGAAATAGAATAATTTTGAAAAAACAAACAGCTAGGCTAAATAAAAAAGAGAAACAACTCAAATAAGTAAAATTAAAAAAAAATCAAAGATGAGACATTACAATGGATGCTTCAGAAATAAAAAAGGATCATATGAAAAATAATGTCAACAAATTGGGTAACCAAAGTCATTTCATGAAGCCAGCAACACTCTGACACCAAAGTCAGAGACACTACAAAGAAAGTACAGGCCAGTAACCCTGATGAGAGAGATGCAAAATACTTAGGAAAACAAATTCAACAACACATGCAAAGAATTATATCCACGATTAAATGGGATTTATCCCTGGGATGCAAGGACGGTTCAACATATGCAAATCAATCAATATGATATACTACATTCACAGAAAGAAGATTAAAACCACATGAGCATCTCAAAAACCCTGGACAGAATTCAACATCAAGTCAAGAAAAAAATTCTCACCACAACAGTATAGAAGGAACTTACCTCAGTGCAACAAAGAACACTTCTGGAAAGCCCAGGGCTAACATCGTGATCAAAGGGGGAAGTGAAAGCCTGGAAATGCTACCTGCTCTCACTAGTCAACACAGAACGGAAGCCCTAGCCAGGGTAATTTGATAAGAAAAAGAGAGAAAAGACATCCAAATCAGAAAAGGAGAAGTCACATAATCTCTACTTGCAGATGACACGTTCATAGATGTAGAAAACCCTAAGTCATCAACCAAAAAAGCTGCTATAACTAATAAATTCAGCAAAGTTGCAGGGACATGAAATCCAAATACAAAAATCACACGGTGGGTGTTTAGCCTGGTGGGGAAGACGCCTGCAACCCACACTGCAGTGCTGGCTCTGGCCCCAGGCCCCAGCTTCCTGCCAATGCAGGTCCTGGGAGGCGGCAGGCATTGGGCTGACTCAGTGACTGGGTTCCTGCTACTCACACGCGGGATCTGCATTGCACTTCCAGCTCCTGCCCTGGCCTCAGCCTCTCCCTGGCTGTAGCAGGCATTTGGAGAACTGACCAGCGGATTTGCAACAGCAATAAAAAGGATAAAATACTCAGGAATAGAAAACTGAAGCAGATACAAATAAACAGAAAGACACCCTACACTCATAGATTAGAAGAATTAATATTGTGAAAATGTCTATACCACTCAAAGTTATCCATAAAATACCAGTAGTTATATTTTTAAAGTAGAAATAAATCCTAAATTTATATGGAACCACAAGACCCCAAATAGCCAACGCACTTCTAAGTAAGAGCAAAACTGGAGGTAGCATACTTTCTGATTTCAAAATATATTACAATGCGACATTAATCAAAACTATATTTCTGGCATAAAAACAGACATGTAGACCAAAGGAACGGGATAGAGGTCCCATAACTAAATCCAGCAAGTGTAGTCAACTGATCTTCAACAAGAGTTCCAAGTACAATGGAGAAAGGACACTCTCCTCAATAAACACTGTTGGGAAAACTAGATATTTACAAATAAAACATAAAACTCCACTATTCCCAAACTACGCACAAAAAATAACACAAAAGACCTGGCGTTGTGGTGTAGCAGATAAAACCACGGCCTGCAACACTGGCGTCCCATATGAGCGTCAGTTTGTGTCCTGGCTGCACCACTTCTGATCCAAATTCCTGCTAATGGCCTGAGAGAACCAGTGGGAGAGATGGCCCAAGTACTTGGGCCTCTGCCACCCACATGAGAAACTGGGATGGAGTTCTAGGCTCCTGGCTTAAGCCTGGCCTGGTCCTGGCCATTGTGGCCATCTGGGGAGTGAACAAGTAGATGGAAGAGTGTTCTCTCTCTTTTTCTCTCTCTGTAACTCTGACTTCCAAATAAATAAATCTTTAAAAAAAATATTGAGGGGCCAGCACTGTGGCATAGTAGGCTAAGCTTCCACCTGCAGTGCCAGCGTCCCAAATAGGCATTGGCTTGTGTTCTGGCTGCTCTTCTTTCACTCCAGCTCTCTGCTGTGGCCTGGGAAAGCAGTAGAAGATGGTTCAAGTGCTTGGGCCCCTGCACCCACGTGGGAGACTCGGAAGAAGCTCCTGGCTCCTGACTCCAGTCTGGCCTAACCCTGGTGATGGCAGTCATTTGTGGAGTGAACCAGTGGATGGTAGACCTTTCTCTGCCCCTCTCTCTGTCTGTAACTCTACCTCTCAAATAAATAAAAAAGATCTTAAAAAAATATTGAGATACCATATACTTGTCAGAATGGCTATTATAAAAGGCTTGATAACAAGTGTTGGGGAGGATGTGGGGAAAAGGGAATCTATACATTGTTGGTAGGAATGTAGGTTAGTACTAGCTGTATGGAAACCATTACAAAGATTAGTCAAAAAAGTTAAAATAGTGCTATCATGTGATCCAGCAATCCACTTCAAGGTGTAAACCCAAAGAAAATGAAAGGGATACAGAATGTGTGCATGTGTGCTCGTAGCCTCAGGGCCTGCACTTGCAGATTCAATCAATGGTCCATCAAAAATATTTGGAAAACAAACTATATCTACATTAAACATGTACCAAGTTTTTTCTTGTCATTATTTTCTAAACAATAGCGTATGACCATGTAAATATATTTACATTGTATTAGTGATCAATGTAATCTAAGGATGATTTAAAGTATACAGGAAGATACACACAGATTCTATATAAACACTATGACTTTTTTTTCTTTGAGATTTAAAAGCAAGATTTATTAGAGTCAGAAACCTCCAGCCAGAGCGGCATGGAGGGGGGTGGGCCCAAGAGAGGAAAAAGTCCTGAAATGGCCCGTGGCAAGGGGGTTTTTAAGCACAGTTTTGGGGAAGAGATAAAACTTATCAGCATGACATCAGTTACAAGGCGGGGACAAAACCCACCAGAAGATCTGATTTGCAATCCTTTACCCTGTCTGCGCCATGCCATTCTCTATAAGGGCCTTGAACACCTGTGTGCGTTGGTACGGCTGTGAAAACAGAATTCGTGAACAATGAGTCATTAATCTCAGGGGAAACACAGGGTTAGGGCCCTGTGAGCCTTGGTGATAACATTTTCATCACATGATGAACACACAGCCTTGTTTTAGACGTGTTTCTGTATAAAAACACCATACCTAATATATATTACTGATTCACTAACATACAACTCATGCCAGCTCCAGTCCCGGCTGCTCTACTTCCCATCCAGCTCCCTGCTGATCAACCTGGGAAGGCAGTGCAGTGCAAGACGGTACAGGTGGGAGACCAGGGTGGAGTCCCTGCCTCCTGTCTCCAGCCTGACCCAGACCTGGCTGTTACAGCCACGTGGGGAGTGAACCAGCAGACCAAAGATCTTGCTATCTCCTTCCCTATCTTGCTCCCCAACCCTGCCACTTTTGCTCTGCCTTTCAAATAAACAAAATTTTTCTTTTAAAAGAAGAATGCTAAAAGTATGACAAAATTCAGGTTTCTTTTCTTTGTGCATGTGTCTGTGTGTGTATTTCATTTAATGAATGCACTTAGCAAATTAACAAGGTATTTTTAGAGGACCAAGTCATGTATTATTTGTCACAGTAAAATATTGGGATTAAGAACAATTAGATTTCAAACTCCCTTATATCTCCTTATTTTTGAATGGCAAACAATGAAAGCTCTCATTAGATTTAAGATAGTAACTAACTTCCAGGAAATGTCCTGGGCTTAGTTCGCAATGTCCTGTTCTTTTTATATCTCTGTCTATACTGCTGGCTCCAAAAGCCTTTTATGTCACAGGGCTCCCCTATCTCAGAGCTACTGAAGCACAATCTCTGGGTAAAAGTCAAGAAATCTTTGTCATTGAAAAAGTGCATGGATAAGGTTCAGGAGCAAATAATCCTGATCTCTTAAGAGTCAGGTAGCAGGGGGCCTATGCTGGAGCGCAGCGGGCAAAGCCACAGCCTGCAGCACTGGTATCCCACATGGGCACTGGTTTGAGTCCCGGCTGTTCTGCTTCCGATCCAACTCCCTGCTAATGAGCCTGGGAAAGCAGTGGAGGATGGCCCAAGTGCTTGGGCCCCTGTACCCACGTGCGAGACCTGGAAGAAGCTTCTGGATTCTGGCTTCAGATTGGCCCAGCTCCAGCCATTATAGCCATTTGGGGAGTGAACCAGCAGATGGAAGACCTTGCTCTGTCTCCCTGGGTGTCTCTCTCTCTCTCTCTCTCTCTGCCTTTCAAATAAATAAATAAATAAATCTTTAAAAAAGTCAGACAACAATATCGAAGTATTGCAAGGTGTTCTGTTTAGTTTATTATACTTCTCAGGGCATAATACCTTTAAAAAAACAAAACAAACAAGAGTTCTTTGCCTTCTATACATCAATAAAATTAAACACAAGTCCTTATAGTACACATATTCAAGATACAACACGCTTAACCATTACTTGATAAAATGCAGGTGTGGCTCCTTTAGTACTTTCTGCTTTGAGGACCGGCTTACCTGAAGAAGTAAGAGCACCCGCGGACAGTGTTGTGGGTATAGTGCTCCAAGGTCTTCTCGTTGCCGTAATCCTCAGCGGGATCAGACCAAAGCAGGTCGCACACTGGCCCGAAGGCAGGAGGCTCAGTGAACCTATCTAACTAGAAGACATGCAAAAGCCAAAAGAAAAAACATCAGGAAAGACAAGGATTGTTGGAAGCTGGGAGGAGGCGAAATCCCCGTTCGAGAGCATCCCCCTGTCCCCAGAGCAGGCAGGGGGCCCCTAAGGAAGGAAGGGAACACTTAGCAGGTCCAGATCCACAGTGTGTATCTTTGTCCTCGATAAACGGCCTAATCATCCCTCACAACCAGAGAGGCAGGGCCCTAGAAAGAGTGTGGGGTGCAGTTCATTCCAGTTGTCCCGGTGAGTCACCGTCCCCAGGAGAGCAGGGAGGTTTAGCAGCGGGTCTGCTCACTGTGCACCTCATTCGGGCAGGCAGCCTCACTCTACAGAGTGCCAGCTCTGATTTGTAGAGGGCTTTTCTCCCTCCATTCTCTGCAGTGAAGACATTTAAATATCAGTCATCCTCTTGCACCTCTAGTCACTTTTTTTTAATGCTTTAGTTAAAAGCATAAAACCCAAAAGAAAACAAGTAGCTAGAACAGCTGGGTGCCCACAAGAGGATTTCCACTACAAGGAAGGAGAAATTTTTATTACATAACTGATCAGACTATAAAATTCAAGACCTATCATGTACAAGAGACACGCTGGTTACGTAAAAGACAACACACCAGCAGACACCACAGTGCACAGGTGTCTCCTCCAACCGTGAGCAGACTGACTTTCACACACAGAAAACTGCTTTGCGAAGCCCCTGGTTTCAGTACTATATGAGAGGTAAGAGAATGCAAAGGCGGAGTGGACGGTCACGTGGAGTAACACGAGTGGGAGAACACTGGTCGTCAGCACGTGGAAGCACTAACACTACGTCACCCAAATGTCAAAGACACGTCATTTCAGAGCTGGCCAAGTCCTCAGACCAACCGCCCCAACCTCCTCATCTCACAGAAAGCCTGACGCTTAACTGATCAGCTCAGGGTTAAACACGGGCACTGGAGCCCTGGTTTCTTCCTATATTGGGACACAATTAGAGCGTCAGGGCTGCACACTAGGGACACATGTTTCCAGGTGGCGACAGCACAGAGTTCATCAAGAGAGAGCAAACTTCTGGTACATACCAGTCACCTCACAACAGTGAGGTCAGGGTAATGTCTATCATCTTACGTTTGATCATCTGCATTGAAAAAAGTTCCATAAAATATACAATGGTTCTCTGCAGTAAAAACAAAAACAAACCCATCACATTTAAAAAAGAAACCGTCTGAGGGAAGCTTACTTACTTTCCTAATGTCATCTAAGCTAGTGATTTCAGGTGACATTCCTCCATGTACACAGAGAAACTGCTGGTTCAAGAGGGCAGCCAGAGGGAGACAGTCAAACGTGTCCATACACGCGTCATACACCTGTTCAGAATATTTGATTCGACCTACCGAAAAAGGAAAAATAGTCAAAGAAAGAAGCTCTCACATATTAAAAGACCAGAAGTAAGTAAAGCTTGTTCAAAAGCCATTTATTTTGGGTAAATTTATAAACACAATCATCCCTGTAGGGATATTTTGGCAACGCTGTAGGTGTCAAAACCTCTCTCCTCCTCTGCAGGTGAGTGCGACCTTGGAGTAAGTCTGCAGTTCTGTTGCTCTCAAAACCCGGTGAGGCGTGTGTCAGCGGAGTTATCAGGCAACATGACTGTGGCCAAAACTGCCCAAGAACCTGGCAGCCGGCTCTGGCTTGGGCTCCTCTGAGGGCAGCGACTCCTAACTGGGTGTGTCCCTTGTGGGACAACAGAAACCACGCCATCAAGTTTTCACAGGAGACACCCGCACTTGCGATGCATGAGGCTTCCCCGCCAGGGTAGCCCGCTGTCTGCTCCGTGTGGGTATTACTTCCTAGCACCTGGGCTGCGACTTGGGTGGGAGATGGGGGGAGGCAAGGGGTGCAGGGAGCCCTGACTGTAGCACTCCTACGAGGACTCCTCTGGAAACGAATGCTTGATGCTGCCCCCTCTGACTTCTCTCCTTCTCAGCAGGTGGATGCCAGGTACGGACTATGGTGTCTCGTGAGTCTGAATATTTTATTAGTTTTTAAAAGACTGGTTATTTATTTAGAAGGCAGAGTGCCACAGAGAGAAGAAGAGACAGAGACACTGACCTTCCATCTGCTGGTTTACCCCTCAAAGGCTACAACACCCAGAGATGGCCAGGTTGAAGCCAGGAGCCAGGACCTTCATTTGTGTCTCCCACATGGGTGGCAGGCATGCAAGTATGTGAACCATCATCTGCTGTTTCAAGGTGCATTACTAGCAGGGAGCTGGGTCCGAAGCAGAGTAGCTGGGACTTGAACCAGCATTCCCATATGGGACGCCAGTGCCCCAAGCAGGGGCTTAACCCACTGTACCACAACATTGCCCCAATACTGTTTCTTTAACGATCCCCTGGGCATGCTGAAGACATACAAGTTGAAACAGGAGTTTTGAGAGACACCAATAAAATGTCAGAAATCTGTTCGCTCACAATTTTTAATGTCTATAAGCAAATTATGCTGATTCCACTTTATCTAAAAATGACTTAATGGATTATATTGTGATGTGGATGTCAAGTTGGACTACAGAACAAGGAAATACTGCAACCACGGTTCTCCATAATTCTCTAGGAAAAAAGGTTCATTAAACGATAGGCAGGAAACTGATGATGGGCTTAAATTCTATTTATTTATCTGAGAGGCAGAGAGACAGTGAAAAGAGAGAGCTGCCATTCCCTGGTTCAGTCCCCAGCTGGAACTTAAACCTGTTCATGCTCTTAACCACCCTCGGATAATCTTCCTAATCATTATTTTTAAAAAGAAAATATTTAATAAGAGTATCTAAATAGCCAAATAGGTACAGCTGCCTTCTATATCCACCAGTTCTACATCTGTGGATTTAACCAACAATGCACCAAAAACATACTTGGAAAACAAAATTGTGTCTCGGAGTGGGAGTTCAGCCTAGCAATTAAGATGCCCAGGGCGTCTGGGCTCCCTTCCTGCCCCGAGAAGCAGCAGTGACGGCTCACGTGTAGCGAAGGCCCAGCCAAGCCCCGGCTGTTCCTGGCATTTAGGGAGTGAACCAGTAGTTGGAGGCTACCTTTCTTTCTGTCTCTGCCTCTCAAATAGAGAACAGTAAATGTGGAGCCAGTGCTGTGGCACAGCAAGTTAACCCAATGCCTGCGATGCTGACAGCCCATATGGGCCACCCAGCTGGGAGACCTGGAAGACGCTCCTGGCTCCGGTCTGGCCCAGCCCCAGCCACTGTGGGCATTTGGGGAGTGAACCAGAAGATGAAAGATCTCTCTCCCTCTCTCTCTGTGTAACTCTGCCCTTCAAATAAATAAATGAATGAATGAATACATAAATAAATAAATCTCTAAAAAAACCTAGTAATTAAAAAAAATTGGGTTTGTCCTGAATATTTACTTATTTCTTATCATTATTTCCTAAACAGTAAAATATAACAACTGTTTCCATGGCATTTATATCATATTAGGTATTCCAAGTAATATAGAGATGATTTAAATTCTAAGGGTGGATGTATGTAGGTTATATGCAAATTCTGTGCCATTTTATCTAAGACCTGAGTTCTGGAAACAATCTATTGTGGATACCAAGGGATGACTAATTTCCAAAGGTTAAATTCGCTGATTCAAGGGCTTTATTTTCATGGCAAATGCTTATTTCTACAACGAAGGGAAAATGTACCACAGCCATAGGGTCACACTGATAACAGTGCTAACCAGAATTAACAGTAAAACATTAACAAATCACATTTCCCACAAAATTCTTTACAATTTTGAGATTCAGCACTGTTAGCAAGAAACCACAACCTGGTCTCACCACTGATCATGTATTTGCTTCATTTTTATTGCTTTCATTAAGAAAAAAAGTAGGTAATACAATTGCAGGGTTCCAAATTAAAAAGCTAGAAAGGGGTACACAAGGTCTCCCTAATCCCTCTCTGCAGGCAAACAGGATGACCAGTTTCCCGGTTGTCTTCGAAGACGGTCTGTGCACATGCACGCAGAAACAGATTTTGTTCTCTCTTCTCAACACCCTTGCTGTCTACACAAACGGCAGCATGTTCACACATCTCTGCACTTGCTGTTTGTACTTACTTTAGAGATCATGCCACATCTTTACACGCAGAGTTCAGGGGTTAAAATCCCACCCTACAACATACTGCTGTAGCGCACTGACAATTCTGAGTGAAAGACACTGCAAACAGCAGGCGCCAGACTTCACCCTGACCTCCGTGCGCTTTCTTGGAAGCAGGAGGTGAAATTCCCTGGTGAGTGATGCCTCACCCACACTGGAAGGGAAACAGCACTTGTTACCAAGCACGGGAAGCTGAAGCCGAGAGTTCTGTACAGACCTTAGTAAAGTAACTTATATTCCAGTTCCCCATATAATCTAGTTACTTTTTCACAACTTACTGCTCCGTCCCGTTTAGAGTAAGCATAAGCATTCAACAATGCATTTGGGTCTTCATTTCCTTACAAGGATTCTTGTGTCATGTAAAATCTTTATTAGGTAATGTAGCTGTTCTTTTCTGATTGCTTTGTCTTCTATCCATTTAGTTCTTGGGCCCAGCCAAAAATTCCTAAGAGGGTAAAGGTCAAGCTTTGCCTCCCTAACAAGAGCTTTCTAATATTTTTCTTTTAGCATATACATAGTACTCCACTTTACAGATATACAACAATCTAGCCAGACGACTCTTTCGCCATTCTAAATAATGTTACAATGAATAATGGCAAACGGTATTTATTTATTTTTTAAAAAAATCAATTTTCATACCAACACTTTTTAATAGGATAATTACAGGAATTTTTGGAACTTGTCAGTAAGCACTTTCACTACACATCAAAAAATGGCTCATGGAAACAACAAATTGGCTTACTTTAGAAACTTGTACCCATAGCTATGAGATGGAATCATAAAAACACTCAGTTTCTTGGCTTGCAAGTGAATAACAAAAATATTTTTGGAAAGACAAATATGGCCTGTCAAAAATCAACCATTAACACACTTTTCTTTACTTCTCAAATTATCTCGGATTTAAAGAAAAAGAGGCAAAGGGAATAAATATGAAAAAAAAAAAAACATCTGTGCATTATGAAGCAATGTGAGAGCTGATAAGAGGGAGGAAAGGCCTCCACCCAGCATCCTGAACGCATGCGCAAGATCCCAGCCGCACAGCCTGGAACCGAACGTCACTTAGCCGTAATGACAGGGCAATGATTCTGAAGGCCACAGTGGCCTTAGGCAACACCACCCAGGAAAGTGCACACATGCTCCTTCCTTATACGGGAATACAATTCTAAATTTGTACTTGAGAATTTGTGTTTTTGCTTCAACATTTTGTTTACATTTCCAAAGCAGCGTCAGAATAAAGCAGAAGAAGTACGTTGGCGAGATGAGAGGAAAAACGACTGGGTTAAAATACAGCCGGGTTATGTGAAAACCAATCAAAACCGGCAAGAAGAAATTCCGTGCAAAATGAGACACCTACATTGTTTCCCGACCCTACTGCTCTTTTTAAAAAAGTCTGAACTAATCTTATTTACCAAAATAAGAACTCTGGTAAACAGATTAAATGTCACCTACAAAATCTGAACTTTAATTCATAAGTGGGGAGGGCAGTGTTGTGGCATAGCAGGTAAAGCTACCACTTGTCACCATGGCATCCCATATGGGTGTGAGTTCCTGTCCTGGCTGTTCCACTTCCGATCCAGCTCCCTGTTAATGGGAAAAGCAGCAGCACGTGGTCCAAGCATTTAGGCCCCTGCCACCTAATTGGGAGACCTAGAAGCAGCCCCTTGCTTCTGGTTTCGGCCTGGCCCAATCTTCCTTTTGTGGCCATCTAGGGGGTAAGCCAGCAGACGGAAGATCTCCTTTCTCTCTCTCCCTCTCTCTCTTGTAACTTTGACTTTCAAATAAATAAACAATTCTTCAAAAATATATAATTCACAAGCAGCTTTCTTCATTATAACCATACTCCTAAATAATAATAACAACAGCTGACTTCCATCAAGAATCACATTCCATCGCTTCTGGGCTAAGATCAAGTATAGTACGAGAATACATTTCACGGTCTTTGTTAACTGCTTTATGTGCATTATTTAATTTTGCCAGGTGACAAACAAGTGTTCAGGATAGCTCAGTATTTGGTTTAGAAAAACAGAACAAAATATTACACATTTTTCAAGTATTTGGTGCCATGGTTAGCAAACGACACACAGAAGAGACTTCCCAGAGATGACGCTCATTCGTGACTGCATCACACACTGGAAATGCCAGGGATACTCTCAGAGCCTGGCCCTTCACTGGCCCATTTTTAAATTACCAGACTGGAAAAACATTAAAATATTAATATATGATGACGATGAAAAATAGTTC